CAAGAATAGCATTAGACTTAATAGAATAATTTTTGGGATATTTTCCTGAATATCCCAACATCTTCAACCTTATTTTCTGTGAATCTTTAATACACTACCTTAAAGGTACTGAAAACAAAGTATGGTTTGAATGATGACTTCAGTGGAACTATTTCTTGTATAAAATTGAAGCCTATGAAATATCCATGATTTTAAGGAAAACGTAACAAAACAAAGTTAATTTGCAGGTCAGAATTATGAAAGATAATTGATATTTTGAGTCTCTAATCACTTTATGATACTGTCTTTTCCATCCTTCTGGAGAAGTATTTTCCATACAATCATAAATACGAATGTCCAGCTGTAGTGTTTTATGAACTTGTAGTGTGACGTCGAGTCGCGGTTAACTATGATCACCACTACAGGAAAAGTGCGTGCCAGTTAACCGGTTAGATCCCTTTGTAAGCTAAAAACCAGAAGGTAGTTGGCGGGCGTAATATGCTATATTTGTTGGCAATCTCGTGGTATCGAAAGAATACTGAGATCGTGCCAAAGAGTACAAGTAGAACTACTGTGCGTAACCGAGTGCGTGCAAGGTCACAATCAACTGAATAATGTATGCCTTTTAGTACAGTTAAACAAACAAGTACAGTAAAACAATCACTGGTACAATTGGTCATAAGAATAACTGTTTCCATGACACTAATCGCATTCTCTTGATAAAAGCAGGTCACTACAAACTAATGATTCCTTTGTACTTGATAAATGTTTGATTTCTGATTCTCAATACAATACGTTCGTTCGTGCTCATATAGTTTATGCTTAAATCGCGTTATTTCTGATATCCTTAGTTCGTACTATAATTCAAATACTCTTAATTATCACATTGACGTCGCGATGGAGCCTGTGATGAAATAGTTGAACATTCACTCAACTTCTGAAGCTTTCGAGCATTATTTAGAAAGATTTAGAATCTAGGGCATGACCGAGAAAGATGTTAAGAACGATAAAATTGTGGCACATTTCCTTACATTAATCGGTAAAGAAGCCTGCAATTTATTATAAACTTTGGCATATTCAGAAATGTCCGTCTAATTTCTTTATTCAGCTCGTAGGGAACTACTATTCAATCATGTTAAGTGCACCAGTTTTGAATGTCGTGAGAGAGAAAACTTTCATAAGTCGAATCGTCAGAATAACGAAAAGGTTAGGGGACCAATTTTTGAATTAAGAAAACCAGTTGCAAATGCACTTTTGGTGATCAACCTCATGTGCAGCAGAAGGATCAATTAATGGCAGGAATTGACATACCAGGTCTGAAAAGAGAGTTCTTAAAAATACCGAACTGTTCCTTTCAAGGTGCTATAAATGCGTGTATTAACTACAAAGCAGCGATTGGACTTGATAACCAGCCGGAGAAAAGTTCTGATACTTCCTTAGTCGTCACGATTAAATACACTATCACGGTCGATCGAACACGCGTTTGTTTGAAAGTGATTCCCATTTTCGTGGAAATATGGAAAGTGATTCAACAAAAAACTGCAAAGCACATCACAAAGGTGAAAGCAAGTTTGGTAAATGTTTTTCTTGTGGTAAATCTCATTCTCGTAGTTCATGTGCATTTGGTAACGCTAAATGTTTCAAACGTGGTAAATTAGTCAGTGAAACAGGACTGTCAATACTGGGTTTCAAAAAAATTTGAAAGGGCTTAAAGTCAAGTTGCCTCTACTAGTTTCTAGAGAATTTTTAGATGCTTTACTTAAAGATTTGATAGCTGCGTGTGCTGAGTGCAGTAGACGTGTGAAAATTCAGGCTATAAAACTTCAAGAATAGAGTGATCCATTCATTTTTAAAAGACGAATAATTCTTTGTGATCCTCGAGAAGTAGTACATAGGACATTGAAAGACTTGTGTCCAAAAGGCATGACTGAACCTGTTCAGTCTTCAGCATGGAGTACTCCTATTGTTATGCCATGAAAGTCGGATGGTAAGACCACCATAATATGTGATGAATATAGATTAATAGTGAACTCCCGTTCGTTAAAGCAAACGTGAACGACGGTAGCGGCCGGAGATACTGTAAATCGATCTCATGGTTCGAAAATGTTCTCGAAAGTTGATTTGAAATATGTTTGTCTCCAAATCCTTTTACATCAATCTTCCAATGTTTTGACGACAATTAACACTCCTTTTGATCTGTTTACATACATTTCGTCTAGGTTGTTCTCCAGACATATTTCAGAAGGTTATGAATAAGGTAGTCAGTGATCTTGAAGGTGTAGTGATCTACTGTTATCAAGAGAACGTGATTGGTTTAATGGAAACAATTATTATTATAACCAATTGTACGAGGGACTGTTTTGCTGCACTCATTTGTTTAACTGTACCAGAACACATACTTTCTTCTGTTGATTGTGACCTTGCGAGAAGTCGGTTGCGCTCAATAACCACGCCCGTACTTCTTTGGCACGATCTCGGTATTCTTTCGATAGCACGAGATTGCATCTAACCAGATAACTCTATGGGATGTCAGGTCAAAACACTGATTACAATGGTTAAGAGAACCAACGACATTGTTAAAACCCAACCATATAAACTCCTTAAGCTAATCCTGAGGTCGAAGAAGCAACGTGATCTAATTTTAGCGCTCGTGGTTCTAGAATTATGGTCTACTATGATAATAGTACTGCTCTCATAATAGACTGTAATGACTCACATTTATCACGAGAACACGACTGGTTTAATAGAAACAATTATTATTATAACCAACTGTACCAGTGTTTGTTTTAATGTGCTTTTGTTTAACTGTGCTAATTATAGCCATTCTGTGCTTCCATTACCTTCCATCTTTGTTCCGCGGTTTTTGGTACTGTTCGCACGTACTCCTGTCTTCTGCTTCCACTTGTACCATTCCTTAGCACGACCTCGGTATTCGTTCAATACCACGAGATCGCCAACCAAATAAATCTGTTTACGTTCAACCTCCGCCTTCTGATTTACCTGGCACGTGTTTCTTGGTAGCGTTGTTCATAGTTAATCTCAACTCGACGCCACGCTACATGACCTAATCCTAAAATTGTAGATTTGTTATGATGTAACTGCCTAATCTTTAAGATCACAGGTGGATGTCATGTCATTATCTACCCTGACTCATTCGTATTGTGACAGTCCTCAATATATGATGAAGAACACATTTAGACTGGATATAAAACAATAAATTTAATATGGATAAAATAATGTGTTGATATATTCAAAACAAGATTGAACCTCGACAGTGTTACAAACTGCCTTATTACTGAATACTGACAACTAAAGACCAAGGGATAGACTCAGTTTATCATTTAATACACCAGATCACATAAGGTTCAGCACTAAAAGCGCCACGGACATTTAGGTTTTGAAAACAATTTTTTCCAATACAACTTTGTAATCGATTACCCAAAACCGTTCAAACCAGAAAGAAAGAACGAAGGAGTCCGAAGATATATCTGGAGGGTACGCGATATCCCAAAAAGTGTTTGATGTAAGCTGACCAGCGATTGTGCGAGACGCGTAACACAGCATACCCGACGGTGTTCTGCTGAAGATGCTTGACACAGAACATTTAGCTAGGGTGTGTTTAGTAAAATTAATAAGGTCAGCACTAATATCGAAGACTTAGAGAATTGCTTACGTTTACGGTTTATTTTTCTTTACGTGAGTGGAAGCAAACAGCTCCCGTTACCATGAAGATATGTGGAAAGTAGAGTTCCTCAAGCAACATTACTAGGTCTTCTTTCTTTTTTACTTTATATGAATGGTCTAACAAGACTCGCAGAGTCTTTGTTGGAAGTTTTACCGATGACATTGGGAAGTGGAGACCCGTAAACATGACTGATAAAGAGGACTTTGAAGATGCCACAAGTATTTGTAGTTTGACAACACTTTAACCAGTAACAGCTTCTATAATTGAATCGTGCTCACCAAGTGAAATCAAAAGTCAGAAGCGAGAAGGTTGGGAGATATATTTGATATGTTACCAATATACCGAGAAGCGGCTGATCTAAGCTGGTCGGCGACAGCAGGAGAAGTTGAGCATGGCGTTCGCACTCGTGTTCTGGTGTGGATGCGTGACCGAGCAACTTCAGCTAGTGGAGTTCATCAAAACTAATGTATTCAGCATTAGATGTCGAAGACTTACAGAGCAATTTGTTTTGGGGATTTATTTACCGCCATAAGTTGAATCCAGTGGTTGAGTGGACAGATCGATACTCATTAGAACCAAGTTATGGAAAGTGTTTAATAATGAACCCCAGTAGTTACGACGATCTGCATAACTACACAGTGAATGAAAAGAGAGATTGATTCTCTAAATGCTACAAATCTCCAACTTAAGCGTAGATCACTTAACTCCAGTCCTTACTTATGAAGTTTAAAACATGCCGATGAATGATCCTTTCTCACAAGAACTCGACAAGTGTTCGGAGTTCGACAACGCCTTAGCTGGTAACATTTTTATAATCAAAGTATGGCAACCCAGTCAAGTCAGAAGCTAAGAGGTTCAAGGATATATTTTACAAGCTATCGATATATTGGGAAGTGATTAACCTAAGACATAACTTCTACTCCTTAAGAGTTGTCGAAAGCTGGAATTCGCTGCCGGCCGAGCTAGTCCAGGCGACTCCTCAGGAGTCCTTCAAGAGGCAACTTGACCTATTCTTAACGACCGAGGACAGCATCACACCATGATTTACCAATTTCTTTTCCTCTTTTATTGTTAACATACCTAGGTTTATGCCTGGAGGATTTGATGATCCCCTGCTACTAGACACGGAAGCCTGTTAAGTGAAAGCTTCTATTCCGTCCACAACCATTTGAACCATTTGACTAGAGGTTGTAGATGTGCATCACGACGTTCTCGCGTGAGATCTGGTGCGGATGAGCGACCGAGGTGCTTTATTCACCGCCACATCCAGCAACCTTGATTCAGATCTCAGAGATAATCAGTTCTTTATTTGTACCCAACAAGGTTCGAGAGTTTTGAATTATTGGTTCAAATGTTTGTCCAATTATCAAGGTCGCAATGTCAATAGGGGGATTTGAGTGTAAACTGTATTCATGCTTTATGCTCGAAGCCTATGTACAAGTTTAGCCTGCGTTCTGAAAAACATGAATAAACGCGAAAGAAAGAATGCTAAAAAGGCTGCAGCTAAAGTTATATTGACTAAGAAACGACAAGAGAAGAAACGATTAGCGACGGACTTTGTGCATTACGAAAATTCTAGCATCAGTGACTACTACATTGATGGGATATTCAGAAAGGTTTGCAAATATTTCCGTACTCATCCTGATAGGTCTTCCCCTATCATTTCGTCTTCAAAGCTTATGCAAAGGACAGGTGGATTAATCGTAAGCTTCGTGATGTCCTGCAGTCTGAATTTAATAATAATTCTGATGAAGTAATCGTAAGGAATACCTTGTGTTACTGAAAAGAAGATTGTTAGGCACAGAAATGTGAATCAGGTGAAATCCTGGTAAATAATGCGAAAGTTGACCCTGACTATGTTATAAATGACAGTGATCTCCTTTCTCAAAAGGTTCATCGCCATGAGTGTCCTGTACTAAGTATGTTCATGTTTTAGTTCACTTTGCCTCCAAGATCTTCCCATCGAGTTTGTACACGACTCAGACGATATTTTAGTGGTCAATAAACCTCCCTCCATACCTATTCATCCTTGTGGCCAGTACACGCTTAACAGCATCACACACATTTTGGCCAAGGATTATGGTCTTCGTCCTCTACGATTTACCCACCGCCTTGATAGGTATGTTCATTCACTATAGGTAACGGTTCACCTAACAAAAGTATGTGGAGGTGATTGTGCTTTAGATTTTACATAAACGTGACCCACATTTGCTTTGATAGGCTCGCGAGACTAGTTTATAAATATACCAGCCAGATCTGAGATTGCGGATCTGGGATTTTGGAGCACAATTTGTTCGTCCTTATGGCTAATTATATGTTAAAACGTGGTGAAAAGCCAAGTCCTAATTCACAATCTTAACTTCTCTCAATCGCTCTCATTTGTTTAAGGCCTTATTTCGACCGCAGTAGATGTTTCACCCTCTTCTAGTACACTTTAGTATCGCTAAGGTTGTCTCTCCATCAGGCTTTAAGGCAGTAAATCCTCAATACTATTACTTGAATACCCAAGAGAAATCAAATGTTTAAGACATGAAAAAATAACTTGGTATAGCTCTACACTTAGCCGTTCGCTTATGGTTGACGCTCTTTTTTTGTATATGGAACTCCTAAAAGATTGACTACTTACACCTACAATTCATTAGCTTAGACATCTCCCACCCAATTCATTGTTGACTAGCTCTTCAAAACGATCATAGCTGTGGTATCAGCTCATGATGCTAGCAATTTTTAGTTTGATTTGCATGTGAAAGAGCAGACTGAATAGCATTCTTGTGTGAAAATACATTGGTTAAGCACTGAGAGTCTCCAGATGTTCGTTTATAACTTGTTGCAGCGCTTATGTCAGTCGTTCAGTTTTAGTTCTTTGTGAGCTAGCTGGTTTACTGGGCAAAACTTTAATGATTTCATGCTTGATAGTTCTTAATTTGTGTATTCATCATGTTTTTACTCAAGTTTTTCAGTGATTATTTCTCATATGTACAGATGAGGGATCATTATTCTTTCACCTGTACTTGTCTTTATAGAGGAAGCTTCTTTTTCATTATTCGTCCCAAGAAATAAATATTTTTAGTCGTTAGTGGGGGATAATCAGTTGTCTTAAAAAAACAGGCCACCTAGGCACCGAAAAGTAGAGACAAACGATTATATGCCTAAAGCATGACTAACTTCCTTATGTGGTAAATATCTATTAGAACAAGTGGTATATTTGTAAACCTTGACTTGCAACATTCCTAAGGTTTTTTTTTAACCAGTTTACAGATCGATATTAAGGTCGGGACAGGTGAAGCTCAGAGATCGTAGTACTGTGAGCCTATTAAGTCGAGACCGTCAGTTTAATAATAACAACACAGGAGATAGTGACAATAGGACAATTTAAAATAGATATCAGATCCTAGTTTGAATTTTTGTCAAAATTGTCTGAGCCATGGTAGTAGATGCAGACTACTTGGTTGGGGTCCGCGTGACTATCGTAACCGATGGTTGGGGACTCTTGGTGACATGGCTCAGAATCGACCACAATGACATCGGTGTATACACTCTCTCTCACGGCCACGCGTATACAGCCTCTGCCAGGAAAGTACTACTCATTGCCTTCTCCTGGCGGGGGTGTTGTTTACGAAAATGAGAGGACGAAAGCGAATGTCCGGCGCTTTAACCGGATCCCAAACCAGTGGTGCACATGGGCTCCAGTATCCTGCGGGAACAAATGGCGTATGAACCAAACGGTTGGTCACCGGCTACCATGGGGATGCATCTCCTCACGATGCTCCACTGCCTTGTGGATCAAACCTTCAGGTCAAAGGCTCGGAGTGTGGCCCCCTAAGAAAACCACCTGCTTCGGTCTGGACACCCGGGCAGTTTCACAGCCCACACACACACAAATATGGTGTGGCACATATATATTTGGTGCCATCTTGTACCGATACTTATGTGTTGAAATAATAATAATAATTCCCTTAAACTAAGAGATTCTTTCTATGAACTCATTCTTTCTTCCTGTATTATATCCTTATTGCAATCTTTCTTTTATATATTACCACCTCAGAATTAACTACTTTTATGAATCCGGTGTCCATCTTGTTGTGTTAATGAGGTATGGCAACTTGGACCGATGCATATATGTGCCTGCTCCTGCGTTGTAGCTGACTGACTGACTGACTTTTGTCAAAATGTGGACACTTGCAAGCCCATTTTTTTCGTGCTGTTTCCAAAATCATCTTGTTACTATTTTTAATTTCTTGGTGAGTCTCTAACTTATAGTAATGTGACTTGTTGCAACTTAGATTCGTAGTCACTGTAAAATGTTGTTTGTGGAAAACCCGTTATTATGTCTTATGCTCAATCATGTAGGGGGTAGCTGATTAGAATTCAAAAGAAATTTGTCAAATTGCTCAGGTTATTGTTTGGTAATTAAATTTTTACGAAATTCCAAATACTTCCATATTATTTCACTTCCGATGTTCTACGAACTTTATTTTATTATTTATGTTTCTGTGTTGCATGAAGTTTAACGGTGATTTTAATTTGTCCTAGCATTTAACACATGGTATTTACACTTTATTTTCGCTTATGGTTTTTAAAAAATGATAGAATGACTTCTGGATTACTTTTAATCGCCAAGGACTACGACACATCTGTACGTCTGCAATCACAAATTAGTAGTAAGGAGGTTGCAAAAGTACGTCTTGTTTATCATATTTATCATTTCTTTCTATATCTAACCTAACGCATTCATATAGATAGTATCATTTCTTGATTTGAAGTTGGATTACAAGCTTGATTTTGATATCTTCACTAGTTCGATTCAGTATTCTCATGCTTCAACATTTTTGACTGTAACTGGGCATCTACGATGTGGCTGTTCAGTAATATTGACCTATAACTGAAGAGACTATATGTATATTTATCATTATATTGCATAAATTACAGTTCTTCCCATCAGTCTTCAAAACGAAATAATGAACTTTATAACTCAGTATATGTCCATGCCTTCGTCTATGATCTTCTATTTATTTGGAAAAATCATCGATATTATTAATTCACTAACTAGCTTTTCAATCCATAACCCATAAATTTCCATCTCAACATTTGATGTCAGCACTCACCTGACGATATTCACACCAGGTAGTAAATTAGAGTTTTCTAGGTTTCACCAGACTGACTGGTTAAAACCCCATATAAACATTCCAATGCTATAAAATTTAAAGTCTGATAGTCGTGCATGAAGTGCTCAGTTATTGACACCTAGTTCAAAATATTCCAATGGGACATTTCCCACTAAGCTACTAAGTGCTATATGTTGAATGAAGCAAAGTAATGAGATCAAAGTTATTTATAACACAATTTACAGTAAAGTCACTCCAGCATAAAAAAATTTATAAAAATAGTACAAGACTTGCTGTTTCCACTTTTTCGAAGAATTAGATATAAGGATTTAAACGGATTCTAATAACCTTATGCTTAACAACTCAGTCATTTGAGTAGTTGCAGTCAATCAACTGTTTATGAATAGTAATTTTGACCGATTTCCTCTTGTCCCTGTAAAACCAAGCTAGAGTATGTGCTCGTATTTGTGGTAGAGGCGAACACTGGCTCTGGTCAATGTACTTTCCTCCATTTGAAGTAGGTATAATAATAGATCCATATACAGGCTGTCAGACAGGGAAGCTTATCCTTTAGGGATACAGAAAATAGTCTCCTGCTTTTTGCACGGAACATCCTCTTAATTGCTACAGACAAAGAGTTCTCAAGTAAACCGGAAGTCTAGTGGATTCTGAATTCCAGATTCATATACAGGTGTCTTGGAGACGGGATTTCTGTAGTCCTCTGTTCGAGTTGTTCTCACTTATCCACGAAAAGGTTAAGATAGTTCTTACTTCGTTTTATCTAATAAGTCAACATTGGATAAAATAACTATGGTGTTTCAATGCCTTTGTTTTGTTGTAAATTGTATTATACATAACTGTATGAATGTACCGCTTTAGTAAATGACATCGATAGACATTTTTTCCTAATTTTCCTTATTTTCTGTAATAATGTTATAAATATCCTCTTTTAATAATTGTCAGACGTCTTGTTGGTTAAGATTTGGCTCCTAATTTAATCTATCTTAACATTTCAGTAAGGAATATCAAGTGCATTAGCTAGGTGTACCTATCCCCTTTCTTCAACGTAGCAAGACTAGTCTGTTAGTTCACATGTCTGTTTTTGAACATGTTACTTTTGCTCAGTAAGCTAATAGTTTACATCATTGTGTACTTAGTCAATAAAGTGTGTAGTGTAAGTTAATCTAAAACATTTTGGAGTTTCCATGGTTTTGGTGTTATTTTTGTACACGACCTTATACATATTTCAACCCTAACCCATTATCGAGGGCGTGAAATTTGAAAATATTACAATTAAAGCGTGAATATCACCATGCAGTTAACACTAGATTTTACCATGAAATTTCATCTACAAATTATTCCGAACTAAGACGTATTCTTAATTAGCTATGCAATAAAAATAGTCTGTAATAACGATGTATTAAAGCTACTTCCTTGTTTTGTTTTCACTTTATAAGTATTATATATGTCACGTCGAAGGCTGTTTCCCAACCGAACCAATCAATCAATGTACTGGCTTTGAGATAAACAATGGAGTAGTGGTTTGTAGCCAACCTGTCGGACCTATCAGTCGTAGAATGGGTGTACATGGCGTTGTACCAGAATCAGCTGGTGGGAAGTTCGCTCGGACACATTTCTTACGCTTAAACTACAATCCTGTCACGAATACAAGTCTAGTCATATGTCGTCTATTCACTGGGCGTACACATCAAATCCGAGTACATGTGCAGTACTTAGGTAATACAATACATCATATAACTTGTATCCGTACATTTTTGGTACAGTTATAAATCTTTGTAAATGTACGCAATGTTGAATTATTTCTTAAGAATAGTCTTTACTTAGAATGAGCAACGAAAACACAATAACCTTGTTATTAACCACCTTCTAATCAATGTTGGAAACTTCAGATGGTATTACTCGTAGTCAGTGGCATTAACCCACTCATTATTACTTTAATTCCATAACTATCATCTTAATTTCATTCGTCTTTTTTTAATTTTCTATTCCTTTTGGTTTTTTACTGTTGTTTGCGCTGAGTTAACTCTGAAGATTATAATCGACACTACGTACTATATTGTCAGCCGAACCGGTGAACTATTTCACGAGTTTACACAATCTAGACCTTACCGCTTATCGGTGCTCGCACCCCTTCTAACCCAGTGGCCAATCAGAAGATGATGACCGAAGGCAGACTAACTGTTGTCTCCGATTCGATCATGACAAAAACCTATACAATAATATTCTGAAAATGCCTAACCACATAGCACGCCAAACAACAAATTACACTTTAAGCACAATCATACCATAAGTGGTAGAGGGTCGAAACAAGCAGTACATAATTAACTAACATTAATTACAGAAACGTAAAGGGTATTAGTGACAATCTGCTGAAAGTTTACAGTTAGGGCGATGTAAAAATGCAGTAATAAAGTTATCGATTAATTATACAGTAACGATGTAATTATTAATAGTCCGGAAAATATGGCTGAAGATCCCAACTTCTCCAATATTCTTTAGTGGCCCTATATCTGACTCCAATTAGATCATATGAATGATTGTTGTCAAAATATACATCCTAGCTATCTATGTATATAATTATTGACTTAACTCGCGTTAGTAAGTAACGGAATTAAAATAAGTCAAATACGAGAAAGGATTTCGAATACGTATATTTTGTACTATTGATTCAGGCAGACGATCAAAGGAACGAAACGAAATGATGCGTGGTGGAAAAAAACATCTGAGCCAAATCAATTTAACCAAGCGTTAATCAATATTTATAGTCACACAAAAATAAGCTACAGACGTGTGACGAGTAGGATAAAAAGTTCACATACACATATGTTCATATAAAAACAGTCAAGGTTGATAAGCGAATAATTGACAATTTCAAAATGTAACTCAAGAAGAATGGATAAATTGGCCTATCCAGAAGCTAGAATAAGTTGTGTGGGCATAACATAGTAACCGACACTACAATTCGTTCTGTGTTAATGTCTTGTTTGGGTAAAAATGACTTCGTTCCTGCTTGTAATGACTGTTATCCCCGTGTTATTTCTGTTTAGGTTATCCGATTGTTGATGATCCCCTATACAATTCAGCTGATTGGGGTGAATTAAAAGGGAAAGGTGCTAATTATGGAATGACTCTGGAAGAAGTTGTCCAAAGATTGAGTGATTCTCGTAACAGGGAAAAATACAGAATCCAAGAGGTAGGACTCTTCTTGAATTTCATATTATGCTAGTTTTTCGTGATTTCATTGCTACCACTTGTTCTGAATTGTGGTTTCTCTATCGTTTTTGAAACTTTCTCTTTACAAACAAATCCGCATAATTTATTCATGAATGGTTGCACTTAAAATTCTTTGGACATGGTAACATTTAAATACTACTTGGAATAACAGTAACCGGAACCAGTTACTTCCCTAGGTATGATTACCAAGGTTTGATTTGATAATTTCGAATAAATTGAGCATCGGGTTGATTGTTATAAGTAAAAATAATAATATATTTGTTATATCCCAATGAGTAGAAAATTAGATTTTATGACGTTTCGTGACTTAGTGTAAGTCACTTCTTCAGAGAATAAATAACCAAATTAAGCTTGGATCAATTTTAATTTGGTTATTTATTCTCTGAAGAAGTGACTTACACTAAGTCACGAAACGTCAGAAAATCTAATTTTCTACTTATTGGGATATTACAAATATATAATTATTTTTATTTATAGTTACTTCACTAGTTTGAACGTAATCTAGATTTCTTTACTCTTCAAAGCAAACATTTCATCTAATTAATTCAAAGTATATATGTTTCAGCGTCCAGGTAAGTAGGTACTCAGTGCAAAACTTTCAAACTGGATTATTAAAATGTTTTCAGTAATCCTTTAAAGTTTGGATTCCACGTCTGTTCCAAATTCAATTCAAATTGCCCTTCAGTTGCAAGCTGGTTTGCTCTCTGCCACGGTAGATTGTTTCTGATAGTATCCGGCCGATGGATATGGCGTATCTTGCGTGGACAATTGTTTTTAAGTACCTATACTTCTTTAGTGATAGCTACGATAGTTCTCAGAGTAAATTGCCGATTGACTGACTCAGAGTAACTTGCTTGGTACCAAAACCCAAAATCCAACTATGCTTAATCACAATACAAAGACTGGTTATGAAGGTTTATTTGACCTCAAACAAATTGAAATTATTCATGAATACACATTTCTATACTGATTTTACTCACACTTAATGATTGGTTCGTATTTATCACACGGGAGATATACACAGAATTACTTCAAAAACCCAAGCTACGAGTTTCACACTGAATTGACTCAAAGAATATCATATCTGTTATATGCACCTCAGCTTAGCTCTTGTTTTACAATATATATTTTGTTTAGATTATTCCGATCCCTAATTCCATCGAGATAGGGTTAAAATTGCATTATTTAAACAGTCGCAGATAAAAATAAGAATATCATATGGATGTGTTTATATGATCAGGATTATCTCAACAACTTGAATCTAGAAAGAAAATCTTTTCATCAGTCCTACATATCCTGTCGAGTTAATTGATGCAACAGGCTTTTGTTTATAGTAGTATACCATGATGCAATGAAAAATTATTATTTGTTTTTTCTCACTATGAACTCTTCGTGTACACATGCAACTTTGTCAAACCTACTTATACGTGATCAGTCAGTTGGCATCAATAAGCCATACGTAAACATTGTAATTCGAAGCTGAATATATAAACATGTGCTTTGTAAATTGATCATACTATTTGTTTGCTTATTTGTCTTAGTCTAAAACTAAATGGCTCAGTAAAAATCACTAGTTTGTTGTAATGTAGCTCATTTACCAAGTACAAATTTGTGTACTCGGCTTTTAGTCAAACCTTATGTGTAAGTGGTACGCATACTCAAAAAAGCGGAGAGGGACTTGGCACACTGTAACCTAATGGTTGAAATCCTAACTCCTTAATCACTAAGCCAATGGCCCACCAGAGTACGCAACTAACTACTTATATTTGAGATTGTCAATTATCACTACTTTGTCATTTATGTCGCATCGTATCACTCTTAAAGGTGATTTATCTTTGGTTTTTTCTTCAGACCGATGAAAAGTTGGAAAGTTCTCTTGATCCAAATGTATTAGAGCGTCTGCAATTGTGTAAAGATCCCTTATGCCCTGATTGCAAGCTTACTTTCAAGGATCCAGAAATGAATAACTTAATACTACGACTGCACGCTTATCGTTATAGTGGATCTGATTGGTGCTATTCTGCACCTTTACCCAGTTGGGTTATAAATGAGAATGTACCAGACTTGCATGGTGCAATAGAAGAGGCAATGAAACAGTTATAAATATTTGTGGGTATATTAGTTTTTCTCCATGTTTGTTTGGTTTGTTCTCTATCATTTGAAATATTCATGCGTACCATATATCAGTCAGTCAGTTACAGCGTATGACCAGGTACATATATGTGCATCGGTCCAAGTTGCCACACCTCATTAGCACAACAAGATAAACACCAAATTCATAGTAGTTACTTTAATGGTAATAATATATAAAAGAAAGATTGCATATCAGGACATAGCGCAGGACGAAAGAATTAGTTCGTAGAAAGGAAAATATAAAGTAATTTTAATCTCATAGTTTAAGGAAAGACAGAGTGTATAGACCTAAACGATGTCACCCAGAGTCTCCAACCATTGATTACGATAGCTACGCGGACCCCAACCAAGTAGTCTGCATCTACCAACATGGCTAAGACTAGAAGTTAGTGACTTCAAGCACTGATGCCAAATTTTAGTTTGGCCACCCCAAACTTTCTTCCAATCATCCACAACACTCGTCAACATTGTGCGTCGTAATCGGTGTTCAGGCATACGTAACACGTGTCCCAACCATCTTAGCCAGTGAAGATTTACAACCTCATCAACAGATATGCCATTATTCCCTAATACCCTGCGCGTCTAACCTCACTATTACTTATCCGGTGATCCCAGCAGATGAGAGCAATATTTCTAAGGCATCTGTGGTAAAATACTAGTAGCTTACGAGTATTTTCTACTCTTAATGGCCACGTTTCTCAGCCGTAATATAGAACATAGCGAACTACTGCACAGTATACTCGTCCCTTAATTGAGATACGGATATCTCGCCTTCGCCATAGGTGACGTACGTTGGCAAAAGCCAAACGACCTTTTCGAATTCGTGCTGAGATTTCGTCAGACACCAACTCATTAGGGCTGATCAGACTTCCAAAATAAGTGTTATATTTCTCTCTTACGGTTACGATCCAGCTATTCCTGGACACTAAATCACTCGACAATTCCCGAAATCAGAACACGGTTGAACAGGAAAAAGATTATATTCCAAATAACAAGGTTAGATGGAGGCAAGAAGCACATTAGGGAAAACGTTAGTATATTTATATTACTTACATGAGAAGATTCTAGAGTATTCTCCAAGTATCGACTAGTGCTGATTGAATAAGAATTAACCAATCAGCGTGCACCAAAGCAACCGTGCATTGAGTATGCATCGACTATCCCAATTTTGATTGGCTTTTCAAGACCGCCGGCATATTGTAGTATTACCATACGTCTTAATGTTGCGCCAACCAGAACAAACCATTCACAGGTTTTCTCATAGAGATATCATATTTGATTAAAAATGTTAATCATGACTTACCATATTGTCTTCCATTATCCATGAAACTTATTGAAGGACAGAAGAACAGCTTGCGGAAAATGACGGCAATCAATTCAAGTATAATTGCTACGTTTATTTTATACTTCTTCCCCTTTATTTTTGATCCCACAATCCTACATCCTTCTAATCTTGAATCCTTATGTTAACTCACGTTATTCACTTAGACTATATAACTATCTATTTAAATAGTGATAAAAAATAAATAAAAAGGTATATGACAGTTAAATGGGCAGTTGAAATACTGTTGGTGTTTTCTATTTCGTTAGAATTCTACGTTGTGTAAGATTGACTACTGACTTTTGGTATATTTGGATAGTGTAATAAAGAGATGATTATCAGAACTACGTGATATATTGGCACAATAAATTCCTAACGATCTGATCACACGTATAGTTTCAAGATACTCAACACTCATTTCGTCGTCTCATTAAGAATATCTACGTAAAAACAATTGACTATAAGCAGAAGCGAGTTTCTTTAATGAAAACATTGATCAAAATAGAACTGATAAGTTTGATGAGGTAGACTGATTATAAAATTGTTAATAAGAAAAAAATGCAGTCTTAAATCATCGATATGTCTTGTAGTGGCTGTGCTTCGTTGACCAATCACCTTCGTAACCGTTATAATCTAATCCTCAACGGTGTTTGAAATCAGAAGGCAAAGAGAAGCAGCAACTACAGTTTTATTGGCAGATAACTCAGATCACAAAGCAGTGAGGCGAATGAGTGAGTCAACGAACCGAGAGTGTAGTGTTAAATATATATATATATATATATATATATATATATATATATATATATATATATATATATATATATATATGAATGGATCGTCGAATCAATAAAGCTAGCAGAATGAATATATGCGTAGGCGGTAAGCAATGTTCAAACATACATATTTCATACAAGCACAATAATAATAAAGGTACAATAAGCTGTTATAGTACGGATGACTTTGTCCGCTAAATAAGTTAACTAAAGGGCTTAACTGAGTTAAATGAGAACAAACTCGGTAAACATTTATTGCACGGCCATTTTTGTGCAATAAATGTTTACCACGTTGTTCGATTACTGTTTAATAAATTAATTTATTCAAATATTGCTTTATCACATATTTCAGTGCATTTAAATTTATTTTGTATCGTTTGTTTGAATCTTCTTATTGATGTTTAAGACTGCAATTGATCAGTCTCTTATTGGCCTATGTGAATCCTATACAGATTGCTTCGATATTGACTTAAGTCACGAGCGTTATAAGCAAAGGTGGATGGTGGCTGGCAGTAGAATCCAGCAGGTGCGTTTTGTCCTATTTGAGACTCGTCAGCTGGATGTACCTGCATCCCAGAATCGTTCACTCAGTAACTCGACACTGATCAATTGCAGTCCTAAACATCAATGGGAAGATTCAAACAAACAATAAAAATGCATTCAAACTTCACTTCATTGCACAAGCCAGTGGCTATCAGGACTCAGTAGTCAAGTGGGTAACGCGATGGCGCTTGAAGCGAACGGTATTGGGTTCGATTCTTGGAGTGAACACCAATTCTCGGGTGCAGGTGCATCCGGCTGACAAGTCCCAAATAGGACGAAACGCGCGTCCTGAATTCCACTACTAGCCACCATCCATCTTTTCAGTACATTTTTGATGAATTATTTTACTGTGTAAGAGAGAACTTATAGAATTTATAATTTGTGATTTAATCTTATATCATTACAATAAAGTCTGTTAATTCTCGAACACTATCGAAGTTTGTACACCTAATTAACAAAATTAACCATCAATAAAGTCAATCAGGGCAAAGACAGATTGGTTTTAAGAAAGAACTTCATTTTTCTAACTCTAAAGGCGACAATTTATACTGTGTTGCTTGTAGTTTTGACAATAATTAGCAATGGATTCTACAAAATCTACTTTTTCTTATATGAAATTTACCAACTGAATGCACCTCAACTCGAAAATTTATGTTCCATACTAGAACCCCAAACCCTTATTGTTTAATACCAACGTCAGAATATTATTCACCAGCCTATACATTAACGTCAAATGTATCCAAATAAATAAATAATTTGTGATTGATACAATTTTCCAAACTAACTTTAACAGTTGTTTCTCATTAAATAACCCTATATTATTTCAAACAGTCAATTGTATAGCAAACTACCCAGCTATGATTCAACATTCTATACACTTAGTAGATTATAAACAGAGTGATCCCGGATACTGTTAGATGTATGGAATCAGTCGTCTGTTTCCGAACCCCTTGTACATTGAGCAGTATGACTTCACCTTCGTACCTTAAGTTGCTGATTTTAGTCTTACTGTCCTCCAGCCGACCTATCTGTTATTGTAAAACCTAGGAAAACAACTGTTATAGCTAATGTAGGTCGACTAAGTTGTCATAATACGCAACCTCGATCACTACGTCAAGGTGGCAGCTATAGTTAAACCTATACAATTGATTCACAGTCGTTATGTATTGAGAATTACACCAATAAACAATGTTCACGTCATATGGCTTTCCTTCTCTACGCCATCAAGACAACTACATGCTGTTTTATTCAGGCTTTTAATATACAGTACTAATAGTACATGAATGAGTCACATGGTTACAATTTAAGTATAAAACAATGACTCGGAACAAATTGATGTGAACTATGGTAGAATGGAATGTGCAAGGCTACAATATATATATATATATATATATATATATATATATATATATATATATTCCACTCTGCCAATTTACGTCAATTTGTTCCGAGTCATTGCATATATAAATAGAATAAAATCAACATATTAAAGAAATGCTGATACTTGGTGTAAGTTGATTAGTGTAGGAAAAATCAATACCACAAATTATACGGTATCTATAGTTTGAGTAACATTAGTAAACTAGAAGTAAATCTGAACAGTGGCTGAATGATTAGACTAAATACAAGACACAAAATTGTAACGTTGCGCAGTATTGGCTAGATATCTAAAGAATCGATGACCTATGACTTGAAAAGTAGTTCGGAAGAGTCCCTAGTTCGGACTATGGATTTATTTCAATGGCTATTATATCATTACATCATGAAGTGACCTTACTTATACAGCCACTGAAAATCAATAACCACTGAGTAGCTGCACTCACTAGTCTTTAATCTTAAGGGGTGCTTTCCGGTGTTCTAATGAGAAGCCATAACCACTGAAGATGGATGATGGCCATATAATATTGTAAATTTAATGAAGTTAGAAGTCCAAACCATAAGACGCTGTCTCATCTGGTGTAATTGCTCGTTACGAGATTTGGAGATCTGGGGTTCGATCCCCAGTACGTTTGTAGATACGCAATGCCGAGAAGTCCCACATGAGGACGAAATTACTGTCCAGTGCTTAGTTCTCAACGGTTATTTCGTGATGTTAGATATGAGATTAAACACTCCACCAACCCTTTACTTACCAAAAACGGTTAACAAAATTAATCAGGTGACTGAGGTGATCAAATTGGTAATTTAGATCAGGAAATCAATATATAAATCCAAACTAAAAGACCAATACACTGGTCTTCACATGACCTGATACAACTGGTGAATAGAAGCTGTCATCTTACAAAATATTTAACTAATTTCGTTGGCTTGGCGAAAAATGTTACAGAGCAACCAGTAACCCAACACCCGTTCGATATATCACCATAAAGAGCAGTAGACATTTTACTGCTGCTTTTAACATGCGCCTGAATGCCGGATTCCAAGGGGAAACTGGAAAATTTTTACTCTACTTTCCTGACCAATAAGGGAATCTTAGGTAAATCTCCGTCTTCAGAATTTCAATAAAAGCCAAAAATGTGAGATTGTCAAATGACTTAATAAAGTCAATGTAAGTTAAACTCCCTGGCTTCCTTTTATCTAAAGACTGCTCCCAGCTCTCTCTTGATGGTGGAGAGTTGATTGTGTATTGATCAACAAGAAGTTAGATTACAAAAAGATAATGGTCTTAATAATTCTTATCAACGTTTTTACAACAAAATGGTCAACGAATCGATTTGTGTCGCTTGGATCCTATTTTGTGGATCGAGATAATTATGGTAGATCTCCAGTTCAATGGTAAAATACACTGGATGCTTCAAGTTCTGAATATTACTATCAGGAGAACAGGTAGTTTTTAATATAAATCCTCAGCGGTTTAACTTCAAAAGAAAAGTATCCTCTACAAAGCTATTCATAATGTAAAAGCGAGGTATTATTTTTAAATTATGAAATACTTGATAAATGAAGAGCTGAATAGATTAATGCAGAAACTAATTCTGAAACATGGAAATTCAAAGAATGATAGAAAATGTCTGAAATCATGCCAAAAAATAACCAATAACTATTTATATAGACTTAATCTACAAATCTATACGGAAACAGACAACCAGTTACGTGGAAAGCGACAAATCAAATAAAAATACAAACCAAAAGTTAACAAAACTACGAAGACAAAGAGTCACAGACAAATTCGTCAACATAGACTGATTAAACGCTTGTAGAATAGTAATTAAACAAGGCATTTCTACGTCAACATGACACTGAACATGATGTCCAGAAGAACAACGAAAACTTTACAATTCAACCATTAAGCTTAGAGAATTCAATAAAATCAAAATCAAATAATCAATCCTATTTCTTTATCAAATGGCTCCAAACACCAATACAGAAAAGTATAATGATTACATTTAAGTGGTTGAAGAGTTGTAATCTCATTTTATTTATCAATTCAATATAAGTCATAACCGATAAAAAAATAAGGAATGGATTAGTAACAGGGAAACAGGATACAAAACTTAATTTCACATTAAAATAGAGATTTATTTCTTCGTGTAATAACATAGAAATATGATATTCGGATAATGAAAATTCATACAACAGTAGGGTACGCATAAGACATCATTTCATTCGAGTGAAATTTATAGTTATGATCAGTTAACTAAAAAGAAAATTTACAAATATCTCTCTTGTTTAAGAAATTATTATCATATAAAATGATCATTACAAATATGCATACAAGGATATATATGTACTATTGATCAATATTTAACAACATCAAGATCCTGATGATCAGAATCTCCACTTTCTGTATTGTTGTCATTAACTGTGGGAATGTCTTTAGCAGAGTTTCGAAATATAACCTTTTGTGATTGATGTCCAGATAATAAATATAATAAACATTGTTCCAGTAGTCCAACACATGAATCGAAACAAGGTCTGAAATATAGAAGAAAATTACTTCCATTATTAATACACAAAGTTAATTGTTTTCGTCAAGTTGGATTGTTACATAAGTGCATCCTGGATGATCTTCAATTTAAACAAGAGTATTAATTAAAGTTTGGTTATGGGTAGCAGCGGAATCGAAGACTCATATTTTGTCCTATTGACGACTCGTTAGCTAGATGTACCTGCATTGCTGTATTGGTGTTTTTCACACTGAGACCCGAATGCGAATTCGCTTCAGATCCCAACGCACTATCCATTGAGCTACTGAGTCCATTAAACTACTAACTTGTTCAACGGGCATAAATTTGTTTTGAAGTGCGCTTGGTTATTGTATTTTAGGATCTAACGTCAGCTATAATGCCAAAACTCCATTTATCCAAATGGATGAGTGAATTTCGCGCCAAAATTGGAGACCTGTTATTTTATACGTGATTAGTTCGTCCATAAATTATAGTCTCGTCAAAAATTACCAATCAGTAAATATGTGAAAGTGAAGTGGTAACATATGACGACGTAAAAGTACTCATCATCAGTCGGAAAGTGAAATAAAACAACATGATATGCAGCGAGGAATGTGAGCCGAAATGGTGTAACCAAGCCTTAATCGATATTTATAGTCACACAAAAATAAGCTACAGAAATGTGATGATTAGGATAAGTGGTGCATATATATGCGCTCACATAAAAACAGTCAAGGTTGATAAGTTACAAGGCCAAAATGTAGCTTGAGAAAAATGAGTAAATTGGTCTGTGCACAGAAATGAGAATAACGTATGTGGGCTTGACATGTGGCCATTCACTACATGTAAGCCAATTACTTCAAATTCACCAGTGTGGCTAAACATCACATCAACTGATGTGGCTTAAGGTCGAGGACATTAAGTTGAACATGGCAAGTAAGTTAAGTATGTGCTATGTTGATATGAGGAATCATTTGTGTATTTTAGAAAACTGTTTTTCTTGATGTAAACTTGATCCACATAACTGATCATCTTTATTTAATATATAAATGAAATTATGAATAAATTTGAAGCAAAAGTCCTACCTATTTCTTGGATCCAATGAAATGCATTGACTTGTCATGTTTAATAATATTGGTGGTGTATTGATAGGAAAATTTTCTAGTTTCATTAATTCATCCATTTCTATACACAAAGTTTTTGCATCACGTATTAAGTTATCTGGATCAGCATTTGTACGTAGAATTAATTGACACATAATTGTACCAAATGAATATACATCTACTGAATTATCATATGGTTGACCAGCTATCATTTCTGGAGCCATCCAGTATGGACTACCAACCTTTTTATAATTAATCGTAAGGAAGAGGGAAACAAGAGAGTTATATACAGAAAAGGATATTTAAAATACAAGAACTTTATTATTTCAGTGAGTTATACAGGCTGGCACATATATGTATCGGTTCAAATTCACATACCATATCAACACAGGAAGATCAGATTATCGAACTAGTAGAAATAGCTATAGCGGAAAATTTTCAGATATAGCCAATATGATTAGAGAAGAAAGAATAAAATTGACCAGTAAAAATTATGGATATTTTAAGAAAGAGTGGAATATATAGGTCAATATGACTGGTTTTGGTTAATGTCACTCAAGGTATCTAATCAGTGGTTACGATAATTGCGTGGATCCTAACAAGGGGGCCTACATCTATTTAAACAGCTCGGTCCAGTAGTCAATAACTTTATGAACTGATGCTATATTTTGGTTTGGTTGCTTTTAGCTTTCTTCCAACGACTCCTATAATATTGTTCGTGAAGGTAGACAGTGGTTGGGTATACGCAATACATATCCTAATCACTTTAATCGTTGAATGTTTGCTACTCATCGATTGGTTGACTATCTTTACCTAGTACTCTGCATTTAAACTCAGACATTTTTTATTTAAGACCAGTATAAATTATGGGTTTAGGGACAAAACTATCCAAGGTTATGTCGTTGGTCTGAACCTAAGTGGGTTTAGGCAGATGTGATAATGGTGTGGTGAACAAGAATTTAGTTGAGGACAACCAAATTACAAAGTATCTTGCTGAAATATCAGAATCGTACACTGAATACTTCATTTGAGAATTCCCATCATTTGTCTTTCACATTCCGTATAATTCTTTCAGTTCACAATTCCTTTCAATTTTCCTTTTATTCTCTTCAACTCGATCTTTTTAGCCTTCAACTACCAGGTTTTCCACTTTCGGTGTTACGTACTACTTATGTCGACAGACATAAGTAATATACACCACAGTAATATTAATATTCTTCACATATAGCGTGATTTGCAGCTGAGCATATGAAATATTTGGTAAAAATAAATTATAATATTTAACTAATATTGGATTAGTTGAAACAAGTTCATTAAAAATGGACTTTTGTATAAGTGTAGTGTATCTGTAGAATTGAATGATCTTATAGCAAATAAAAATGATTCTAGAAACAGTGAAACAGACTATTATTAGTTTCCCTGAAAAAAAGTGTTTTAATGCCTTTGTTTATTCTACCTTACTGTTACTGTGGTTTGGGTTACTTATATCCACATAAGTGGTATGTAACGGTGGTCAGGCATAGAATGTATTTCAGTAGAAGATTGATAAGGAAAGAACGGGAACGGAACGCAATTGGTATGAAAATGCATGAACAGTGAAATCTGAGATAATGGACTGATATTTACAAAAGGAACAGTCACGTTTGAGACGATGGATTGATATTTTGCAAATTAACTTATAGTGTCGGTTATTATGTTAAGCCCATATACCTTATTCTACATTTCGGACAGACCATTTCATTCATTCTGCTTGAGTCACATTCTGACCTTGTTATTTATTCGCTTATCAATCTTCACTGTTTTTATATGAGCGCGCAGGTGTGTGTACATTTCTTATCCCATTACTCATCACATGTCTGTAACCTACTTTTGTTTAGCTATAAATATTGATTGACGTTTGGTTAAATGGGAGTTGGCTTACCAGCCATCTCCACTCTGCATCGTTTCTCTTCTCTCTATTCCATTCGCTTTATATACAAAATATAAGTATTCACAAGTCCATTCTCGCTATTCGACTTATTTAATTCCGTTATTGATTAACACAATTTAAGTCGATGACTATATACGAGGATAGACGATAACAAACATTCATACGATCTAATTGTAGTCAGATCTCGAGCCACTAAAGTGGAGAGCCCTTTCGACAACATCGTCCGATCTAAATGACGACAAAAATAACGGGCCCCACAAACTATCTACTATATGATTCTCAGATTTTATTGAGATGCTCTGTAATTTCGTATCAAATACACTAAACTGTTCCCACTCGTGTACTTGTTCACTATATTCAACAAAATTTTATTGCCAATATTATTGTAATTATTATCATACTGTAGAAGTACGTATATATTTGCCGAAAACAGAACTCTCCATTGGACTAATCTTTCTTATTTTATGTCTCAATGGGCCTATTCTATTTACTAGAAACTGTTGTAAAGCCCGGTTTTACTTTGTCTAATGTTATAACGGTTGGGTTTCCACTTTTACACGAATGGGACGTAAATTACCTTAGACGAATATCTATATTATATTCCCTCCCAGTGTCTATTCTAAAGGACATCAACATGACTCAGATCAAGAACACGTGATTAGCCTGACCACGACGTAAATATATTTCCACACCAAAAACCCGACACAATCCAACAACAATGAACAATCAATAATAAGTGAGTAGTGATAATAAGGATAGGGGAATATATAACTCGTCTGACACCTATCAGACTATCTACATGTCTGACTAAGCAGACAACCAATCATTATCATTCTCGACCACACATCAGAAACACACTGTGTCATGAAGTTATTGTTAAAATGGTATAAAATTCGAGATCATATCGTAATTCAGTATGATATTTAAAATGGTATATTTTTGTCCACTATATTTATGGTGAGACTTTGATTTATGGACGACCCTGGAAAGATATTAAAGTGACCTCGAGAAAATCCACCTACCTACTACGATCCGAAAAAGGCCATAAATTCGTGTGAGAAATTAGGATCGGGATTTAGAGTTAGGAATTGAAGTTATCATCACGAAATGATATCAGACATAGTGCTAAAACGTTAGGATAGACTCCACTTTAGTTCGTAATTTTGACCGTGCACCTGGCAACCAACCAAAATGAAGTGGTAATCATTATCTGCACTATCGTCAACCAAGATGGAGGGTATGTTTCTTTCTCTGTCGTTGTTGGTCGCTTACATCAAAAATATAAAGTTTTCTACGACGAAAATACTACTCTATAGTGCTACGGACGTGTCAAGTGTAGTGCACTGAAGTCATGATGGAAGAAAAATTACAACATAGTAAAAACCATATCGCCAATTTATCCTAAAATATAAATTACCCCAACATATCCACAATTGAGTAACTGAGTAAACGACATAATAACCGTAATTACTGACCACGACACACAGACGAACTGAGTCCTATTTTGCCATATAGGTGAATGGATTTCGCGCACAAGTCCGAGACCTGACATTTTAAATCTGATTGGCTCGTCCAAAAATTATAGTCTTGCCATATTTGTTTTATTTCAGTGTAATATTTATTCAATATAAAATAGTTTTATATTAGATTTAGTGTGATATTTGTTCAATATAATATCCAGAATTCATTTTGTTTTTGAGTCAGAGTAAAATCTACTTATTAATACATAATTCCATTATCTTCAGTTGTATATGGATATTCATTATTGACTAATCATTGTTTTCCAGTGAAGTCTATGTATAAATGAGTATGTTTAGTCGCTGTGTGTTTTGGAGGGTGATATAAAATTATTATCTATCATCAGTGATTATCATTTTTGTTTGCGTTGTGTAAACTTTAGTTTTGGTTTTCCAAATTGTACATGATATAGGATACAACTGGTTTAAGCTTTAAAACTGCTTTGACTAAGGGATAAGAAACAGTTTATGGTATGAAACACACATCACAATTGATTGATCACTGGGTGGCGATCAATGTCATGCGTATCTAGTCCTTATTAGTGCAGATCGAATGCTATCGACTATATTGCAATGTGACTACCAGCCAAGTAGCACGAAACCCGGGTCCAGGGTGTCCTGACGACTACCTCCAACCACCATCTAATGAAACACACATATTAAGTAACGTCAAAGAATACCCTAGGATAACCTAGATTATTTCATTTGGTTGAGTGAAATTACTTGGAACCAACAGATACTGAATTTTTAATGCTTAACAATCATTTCACTTACTACAGTATGTCTTCTTGGATGATTGTATGCATGATGACGTCTAAGACGAGGAGTATGATTAGGCTGAACATCGGTGTTATTTGAAGTATCAGAAGAAGAATCTTGAATTATTGATGTAGAGTCATTTGTTGTTGTGTGATCGTAGCATTTTTCTTCTGTTTTCTGTCTACAAGACGGAATTGACTGAACTAATTTTGACAATCCGAAGTCAGACACAACTACAGAGTCATCCTAATGAAAAGAAAATAAGAAAACTTTCTAGAACACTATTTTAATTCTTTTCAACAATCAATTTAGTTAAAAAAACAATCAATTCATAAGACTAATTAGTCAGAAAAACATTAAATGAATGATATTATGATAAATAAAACTTTCGGGACCAACTTATTGCAGACTTTAGTAGGTGACACATGAACAAAGGATTTTGGTTATGTTTTTTTGTGTGGGAAAAACCTCGATAATTGGTTTAAATAAAGTGACAATTGTTTTATATTATAACTATTAAGGGATTATATTATACGGTTGCCATAAAAAAATGGTTAGACCAATGTAATCCTTTCAGGGTACATATATACCAACAAAGACTGATCAAAATTCAGCCATGATCATCAACAATGAAACAAGACTTTTACCAATAGCATAAGACAACGTGCCTGTTGAACGAGTTGGTGGCTAACTGAACAGAATAGCTGTCAGCAGATAACTCGTTGAGGTATGAAGTAAAAAGTACTGGGTCCGAGTCCCATTGTGAAGAACATCAAACAATGGGATGGAGGTATATCTAGATGATGGGTCCTATGTAGGACGAGAAGAAAGTCCTGGATTCCAATCCTGATATTCTAAGGAAGTGGTATCCAAGTAATTTCTGAGTGCACGGTGGCCATAAATGCGAAATGTTATACGGTGCATCGGTTTTAGCGGCTTCCACTTCTCATTGTGGGAGATCTCATTAAAATTTACTGTACTCTTATTTACAGCATCAAAGTGGTATGCTCCAATGGTACACGTAAGTTTTAAAATCCCTCTTATAAGGTAAAGGACAGAAAATTTAACAATAACAATCGACTACACATAAGTTGAAAATTAGTTATGGAGTATAGATCACGTAGCAATATAAAACGCAGAGATTTCAGCTGGTACAAAGTACTTGGGCTTAAATAGTTATTAAAGCTGCAATATTTTGTGGATGTTTACTTGTGAAGATAACGGTTCATACATTTTTTTCCATTGTAATATTCATGATTTATATGAAGGTTTTGAAGCTGCACAGATGCTCAAAACGAAACTAATATATTGATGAACCACTGAGTAGTAACATATCTCATGGCTATCTAGCCCTGAGTGCTGGTCAAATCATACTGATCAAGTTGCAATGTGGTCATCGTGACTTCAGTCACTACTGTGATTAATCACTGCAAATATTTTAATTCTACAGGTCAGTCACCACTCGAATAGCTGAACGATACCGTTTTAAACTATGATGCTGGTTGATGCAGCCTCGAATGTTCTCGAGAACAACTATATTTTCTCCATGAGCAGCCTCGAATCCCACAGGGACAGTTACCTACCTAGAAGTTAGAGGTACGGGTTGTTTATAAGCGCCAGATGGCACGAAATCCAAGTTCGTAGTCCTCAGCCGACTAATTTCAGCCACTTAACATCAAAACAAAGTTAGTAGTTTTACTGACCATGCAATTTAATCTAAGAGTACCGTAGCAACGCCAAAAAATGTAGTATAAATTAGGTTCATCAGCCATTTATTTCATTATGATTCCAAAACTTACGTACATTCCTACTAGTTTGGAATTAAACTTTTCAAACTAACATTTATTTGAACCCACACTACTAAATGATTCGATTAAAACAGCTTGATGTTATCTACTTCAATCTTGTTTGGTTTCAATTATATTTTTGTTGTTGAAACAATTGTTTCTTTTAAGAAAAGAAATTTGAAGAATACTAATAACGTTTCAAATCGTTAACACAATGAATGATGTTTATAAATAATGTTTAATTAGCTTACTTGTCGTACAAGACAGTTAAGAGTTGTTAAATCCCGATGTATAAGGTCATGTTTATGTAAATAAGCCTAAAAGTCGCAATAATAAAAATACAAATCGTGTTAATTCACAAAGAATAAATAATTTTTTGGTATTTTATTTCCAAGTAATGTAAACTGTTGCATTATTTAATATTTTCATGGTTCAGAAACATTACTCGCCGACCAGCATTCTCCAACTCAACCTGTCATGGAACTTTTTTCTAGTTCTATCCTATTTTTGTTCAATTTTTTCTCATGACTATCTCCATTTCTCGACGTAATGTGTTTTTTGGTCTTACTCTTTCTCCTTTGGCCTTGACGATTCCAAGTGAAGGCTTGCATTTTGATGCAGTTGAGTGCTTTCCTCAATGTGTGTCCTATCCACTTCCAGCGATTCTTCCTGATTTCTTCCTCCGCCGGGATCTGGTTTGTTCTCTCCCACAGTAGGTTGTTGCTTATAGTGTCTGGCCAACGTATCCAAAGTATCTTGCATAGACAACTGTTAATAAACACCTGTATCTTCTGGATGATGGCTTTCGTAGTTCTCCAAGTTTCCACCCCATACAGTAGAACTGTTTTGACATTTGTATTGAAAATTCTGACTTTGATGTTGGTTGACAGACAGTTGTTTTGAGTTCCAGATGTTCTTCAGTTGTAAATATGCCGCTTTTGCTTTGCTGACCGCGCTTTCACATCTGCGTCAGATCCACCGTGTTTATCAATGATAGTGTTCAGATATGTAAAGGTTTTTACATCTTCCGAATTTTCTCCGTCAATTGTGATTGGATTGATGCATGCTGTGTTGTATCGGAAAATCTTGCTTTTCCCTTTGTGTATGTTGAGACCTACTGCTGCTGAGGCTGCTGCTACACTGGTTCTCTTCTTCATTTGTTGTTGAGTGTGCCAGATTATATGCGAAGTCTAGATCGTCCAGCTGCATCCTAGCTGTCCACTGTATCCCATGCTTTCCCTCAGATGTTGACGTCTTCATGATCCAGTCGATCACCAGAAGGAAGAGGAAGGTTGAGTAAGCAACCTTGCCTTACACCGGTCTTTACCTCGAACGAGTCTGTCAGTTGTCCTCCGTGCATGATTTTACGGTTTAATTCACCACAGGAATTCCGTATGATATTAACTATCTTCTGAGAAACGCTGTAGTGTCGAAGAAGCTTCCATAATGTTGTCCTGTCCACGCTATCAAACGCTTTCTCGTAGTCAATGTTGATATAGAGCGATGAATTTCATTCCATTGATTGTTCCACAGGTTCAGAAACATGGTATATTACAAAATATTTACTTGCAATAAAATAATGTTCTACAGTATATTTTCTTTATGATGATAATGACCTTGGAAAAATCTTTTAAACTGTCAACATTATACTGATTATTTATTATAAACGGAACCAATCATTTAAGAACATCGCATATTTGTTTTTCATGTCTCTGGCAGATTTATCACGATAGAAACAGAACGGAATTTTCCTTAGATCCATTTATGAATTGTAAGCAAGGATTTTAATGACCTAGATATTAGTTTCGACAGGTTATTGATAATTTAATCTAATTAATAACCGTAGACAGGGTAACCGGTTCACATATTTCTAGTTGCCTAAACACATGTAAAAAACATTACGTTAGCCTCTGTATACGATACACAATAAGTCTTATTATTCAAACAAAATAAGGCGTCATTTATAAATTAATTAACAAACAAATATATGACCAGACTGTTTGAAATATACTACTCTGATATATCACATAGTTCTAATAAAGTTCGTCTTCTTAACGCATTATCTAGATTTATCAAATAGTCTGTTTATTTATTTTAATCACAATAATTACACCTTAATAACAATAATAAGCTACAACGTAGGACCAAGCACATATATGTATCGGTCTAAGTTGTCATACCTCAATATCACAACAAGATGAATACCGAATTCATAGAAGTAGTTAATTCAATCGTAGTAGTATACAAAAGAAAGATTGCATATAAGAATATAGTACAGGAAGAAAGAATTAGTTGATAGAAAGAAAGATAGAAAGCAATTTTAATCTCAGTTTAAGGAAAGACAGAGAGTGTATACACCGACGCCATTTTGATCGATTCTGAGCCATGTCACCAAGAGTCTCCAACCATTGATTACGATATAGCTAGGCGGACCCCAACCAAGTAGTCTGCATCTACCAACACGGCTAAGACTAGAAGTTAGTGACTCCAAGCACTGATGCCACGTTTTGGTTTTGCCGCCCCTTATTTCTTCCAACCATCCACAACACTCGTCAGCATTATGCGTCGGGGTAATCGGTGTTCAGGCATACATAACACGTGGCCCAACCATCTCAGCCAATAAAGATCTACAACTTCATCAACTGATTTACCATCATTTCCTAATACCCTGCGTCTAACTTCACTATTACTTACCTGGTGATCCCAGCAGATGTGAGCAATAGTTCTAAGGCATCTATGGTAAAATAATAGTAGCTTACGAGTATTTTCTACTCTTAATGGCCACATTTGCAACTGTAAAGTAGAACAGAGCGAAGTGCCGTAAAGTATACTCGTCTCTTAATTGATAGACGGATATCTTGCCTTCGTACGTGACGTACGTTGGCAAAAGCCAAAAGAGCTTTCTAAATAAAACAAAAAATATTTTGAAAGAAAAAAAAACAGAACAATTAAACTTACCATCCCTGATGCAATATCACGACCAAATGTTATTATTTTAATCCAATCAAATGGATATTTAATTTTATCCAAGCATAATGAATGTAAACTTCCTTTTTCAATGTATTCAGTAATAAGACAAAATTGTCTATTTCGAATAACCACACCGACAATTGTTAAAATATTTGTATGTTTTAAATTTTGAAGTAATGAAACCTGTAACAAAATATAAAAAAAGATAATTGTTTAAATGAAGGGTAAAAATATGATACTAGTCCTTCCTTACTGTTACTAGAAAAGGAGGCCCAGGACAGAGTGGGTTGGAGAATGCTGGTCGGCGGCCTATGCTCCACTAGGAGTAACTAGAGTAAGTAAGTGAGTAAAAATATGATAATAAGATGAATCAATAAAATAATGATAGATATTATGTTGTTTGAAATTGCTAAATATCTTGGTAACAATATGGAAGGACTAGTACTAAATTAAATTAGTTTATATTGATTTAGTTCATATGTCAATAGAGTGTGAGTGGAGAAAATTACTAAGGTGAAAGTCAAGAGTTGATATTATGGTCGTATGAATGATGGATAAAAACTATACGTAAAGAACGTTTAGACAGAGTCGAATTTCCACCATAGACGAGCTGCTGTATAAGTCCGAGAGATGGTGCTACACAGTGGCTAGAGACGTTATCAGATATGGCTGAGAATAGAAGCCAGTGGCGATCCCGATGTAACCTTCTTTCACTTTCTTCGTAAAAAGTGGTTGTATCTTCCTTAACTGAAAGATTTCTTCTGGTTGTACCTTTCCGTTCCCCCATTATTACTATTATTATTATTACACTACCTTACACCAATTTGTTCGTTATTGTTCTCTTTTTTTTATGCTCCTTACCTTTTTTTCTTTTTCCTTCTCTTTAAATTCTCATTGTTTTGTGTGGCGCATATACATTTGGCGCACTCTTGTACCAATATTTATGTGTTCAAATAATAATAATAATAATAAAATGCGTAAAGAGCAAATATTTCGCAAATAAAAACAGACAGTGAAACTGAAGAATAAAAATTATGAGACAATATTAAGACTTTAGAATTGAACACAACTGTTTCCGTATGATACTGTAATCTTTGCATCAACTGATAAACGCTTAATATATAAGTAAACGTTTTGTTATTTTTTTAAAATTATAACACAATACGTTTACGTTTGTTCACAGTCTTTTTCTTGTCTTCAGCCACTGATCTATTATTAGAGTACGTTTCAGACTGATCTGAGAATTTCTATATCACTACATACATTACCATGATTCATTTTAGATGCGTATCAATCTATACAATGAAATGATTTAAAGCAATGATTTTATTTCAAAGGGTTCTGATACAGTTATATAACTTCACGAATTGTTAGGGACAATAATCATTGATGAAGTTATGTATCAGTTTAAAACAAAACATCATAAAATAAGATTATATTAGAATGTAGTTGATTCTATTGAAATTCTCGCCAAATACAAATTAGTATACTCAAATTTCAGCTATAGTTTTAGTAGAAATGACTAACGACACTAGGTGATTGTTTTGACCGACGTAGATTTACTATAGTTTTAGTTTAGATTTCTATACATCAATTATACTTATTATTAGTATTATTTTGTGTTAACGACTAGTGTTAAACCAACCAAAATAATAAGACAGAATAATTTAGAAACATAAATGAGCAGAATACATGGTCAAAACTCATATATACATATATGTGATGTTTTGCCGGGGATTGTATTCATACTGAAATGCATAATATCTACATTGACTTTAAAATATCATAAAGATCACTAAGATTGATTGACTAAGTTGCATTATCGAGTTTTATTTAATTAGTAGTTTCTATTATCATTCTAACAATAATTAGCATACATACCTATAGAAATATAAATTACTACATAATCTAATTGCATGTGACTAAAAATGTTACATATGGAAAATACTGTTAACTTGAAAATATTGAGAAACTTACAAAGTTACATTTATCAAAGAAGTAAGAGTTTTCAACCCGTATATACTATTCAATAACTAATTCTGTATCATTCATATTATCATTGGAAAACAATTGAAGTTACAGAGATTGTGTAAAATGCTTCAAAGTGTGAACTTTCATTATATAAATAGTTTAACGTGTGAATACTAAAACGTCACATATATTTGCAATTCATTTAGCAAGTTATCATATAGAAAGATACATTCAATCACTGCTCTATAACTGATTTGTATGTTTCATTCTACTACCAGTCAGTCAATCAATCTCAAACAATATACAATATACTTCTACTCCAGCGAGTATCAAGTGTTGAGGTAGGTTGTAGTTGGTCAAACGTGTAGTGGGTCCTTATTTGGTGAAAATTCATAAACTTATTAATAGATTAATCATTTTCGTTTAGTACCACCTGTCTAACCTAGATAAAGCTCACTCTATGTTCCCAACACATGCGAGTAATGCTCTGAAGATATCTACGATTTGATACTAGCAACCAGTCCACGCTCTCTTCTTCTAAAGGTTATGTTTCACAAGCATATAGCAAAAAATAGTGCATGGTTGAGTAGGATACTGGTTCTTTGGTTGGCAGACATCTTGCCTACGGCGCAGCTAGCACAATTAAACAATGTCAACCGAGCTTTCTGGACGTGGGTCGAGATTACATCAGATCCATCCAAACGGGACTGATGAAACTTCTACGATAAGTTGAGTGATTCACTCACTTAGACAACCCCAATTCAGGCGTTGACACGGGGCAGTCTTGAGAAACTTGGGATTTAAAGACTGAGAAACTCCAAATATGCTTGGACTGCAGCTTAGGACGCTTAAGGGACTGTATCTAATAAGTGCCTTCACTAAATGGACTAGGTAAAAGTCATACTCTAAGTCACTAAATAAATCATCTGACCAGATGTCAGTCCCTTAAAAGTCAGATGAAGAACCCGTATCTATGCTTACAGAGAAGCTAAATAGAAATGGTGACACTGAGCAGTTCTGACAAAGAGCGCTTGAGGCTGACAGTTTTAAAGATAGTTTGCCATAAGCCTACACAAAGCCTTTGTATTTTCTTTGTACACCTAACGATAAACACTGTCATAAAGCCTTTTGGTCTACGAAGTCGAATGCTAACTTCAATTCAGGCAATATTACTACTGTCGGACATCAGTAGGTATGCCTTAGCTCTGAAACCTGACAAACGGTCAATATTTGATCGACACTTTGATATCCAGATTTGAAGCCACCCAGGTTTATGTGAGTTTGCTATTCACGAACCCTAATTTAGGGTTGCATGTTTCCAATGTTACAAGTAGGGACTTTGTTTGTGCAACTCACCCACAAAATAAAGATCCAGAATTTACGAAACAGGTCTAAATTCTAAACAATGAGAATCGCCTAAAATACTAGAACACAAAGGTTTGGGTTTATGATTTCCTAACGATTGCTTCAAACGTACAATATGCATAAAAGTTTGGCAAGGATGACAAGAATTTTCAAGAATCAGCGGTAAAAACAAGAAATGCTTAAACTGGTAAATATTTCCAATAACAGATTACTTTATGAATACTTTCCGTATGACAAATTAGATAGAGCCCACATAATACGTCTGATGTTGATTGTAAACTGGACGCATAGCAACTGAGCAGTTGGCAAGAATAAATAAAACATAATGAAGTACGTTTGTGCTAAGGGTCACTTTGAGATTATAAAAACTCTCCTCAAAGCCCACAAACTCAATAATAACCACAGTTACTAACTAGTATTAGGATGGGTCCTCTGAAATTCTATTAGGATGACGTGATCTGATGAGTGAATTAGGTTGAAAGTGAGACAGTACCTTACCAACGATAGCGGATAAGGATAACACCACAAAACAACGTAGCTAAAGTTTAAACTATGAACCACTCCATTTCTACTCAATGGTCGAAAATTACTGTGTTGGACCCTCTTCCGTGTTGGTTCGTGAGTTTACATCACTAAGACGTCCCGCAATGGAACGAAATATTAGACTAGTGATCTGTGAGTTTTAATTGCTCTTCAAATGGCATCAGTTCTCAATGGGAATCATCTTCAAAATATACAAACATTTTTGTAAAACCCTCAAAACTAATAATCCAAACATAAACTTAAATGGAAAATGGTATGATAAGCTGAGAGATTGCTGAAAAATAAACAAATGATCCAAATAGATAATTTAAAGCAATCATAAACTAACAATTTTTTATGTATTACAGACTATGTCCCTTCGCGTAACTCAACCTGTAACCCCTCTGAGGCTAACTACGGTCCCAAGCCGAGATAAAAGAGCGTTGGATATGGGGTTAGTGACCTCATCCCGTAGAAAACTAACTCGCTAAAAAACGCCAAACAGAAAAAACAATTCATCCCTTCGCGTACTTTTAAAAATAGAATTATGTTCCTTACTTCGCGTATAATAGTTGCCTCGATTGCTTTGTTTTGTTCAATAACCTCTTTAAGAACCAACAAACAATTAGATTGTCGGTGTTTTACCTGAAAAGGAACGAGGTGAAAAAGCAAATTAACACGGTTAACACATGTATAAATAAATACAAACACACAATCATGAGGTTTTTTAGAATAGTAGGAGACATGTTTTTATGATAATCTTCGAATAATATGTCATTTTTATTACCTACTGTATAAACAATTATCGGCCAGTAGATTGTCGCAGTCAAACATTTAAACCTATTATTATCACAACACTAGCATCATTTAGAGGAGTACCGAAAAGAATGGAAGGATAGACAAGTTGTTTGTTCAAGTTTGCGACTTTCCGGGATTGTACACCTATGGCTTATGATATGAATGAACTCAAACTATAGTGTCCAGGCTAGTACAATCTCACTTTCGAATTGACTTACTCGTTATGAATTTTCGGTTCAATGTTCACTTAGCTTTGCATTCTTCAAAAAATTATTTGGATATACATTACTACGTCAGACAGAAAAGAAGTACTTTGTAATAAACTGGAAGGACTTTGCGTCTATGAGGAAGAGCTTTTATCTTAAATAGGGAAATCCTGCAAGTACAAGCTAATGAAAATTGAGAAGTTTCACCAATATGCTCTTCTAAGAGAGCGGCAGATTACATTATTAGCATAAATAACGATAACGTATTAAACGCAATCTTTTATGAATAGTTGAAATAAGTTAAATAAAACAGACTATTTGAATTAACTTCTCTGTTGTAGTGTTTGAAGATGCAATAAAATGGTGTCAAGGTTGCTTCCTCAAAACTTGTTTCAAAAGTTCGGCAACCGGAAAGACAAGACAAGAGCACATCTAACGAAAAAACACAAACTAAGCTGAATGAATGATAAGATGCATGTATACAAATTCATCTCGCTCAAAATTCACATCAGTTTAAGGCCTTCTTATGACCACAAGGTCTCACTTTTTTAACTCTCACGTGTTAAACTATGCAATTATATGTCAGTTTGTGTGGTAAATTATCATGTGAAAGTAAATGACAATATTTAGTGACATCTTCAAAACAGTGAATACTCCGACCCACAATCAAATTAGTTATAGGTAAAATCCTTAGGCCGTTAATAAGCAAATCGTCACTAAATAAGTCCAATCTAGTAAGGTAATACAATGTCTCTTTATGAGGACTCTCAAATTAACATATGGTATTTGAAGTTGTAAGTAAACTTCTGCAATGATGTAAACTATTTCTCTTTAGACTCTACACATGCACGAAAATATTCTTTGTTTGACATCTTGCACTGACATTTTCATGTAGTAGCGCCAAATGTATTTGATCAACAATAATTGAAAACATGGTTATAATAATAACAATGATAATAATAATAATGCAGCAAAATGCTATTTTAAGATATCAAAAACGATTAGTGATAATTTGCTACTTTCAAGAATCACAAACTATCTTCTTAGTAATGGAAATCAGTTAATATTCGAATGCCCAACTTACTTTTATAGCTCTACCATATGCTCCACTTCCAATTTCACCTAATATTTCTAGATCTTTGTCGTCTATATTCGGAGGAAACTCTACCGTGGATCTAACACTAGTCGTACGAGTCAATGAAACACGATCACATTCTTCTTGAATGGTGCATTGAGCGTTTGAACGTGAAAATCTACAACTAAATAAAGTTATTGACAGCTTTGCAAAATTATTACCCATGATCCTTGCTATCATTTCGTAAAGATGCACTCTAAGAAAATTGATATTACTTCACTTCCGATGGAAATGATCTTACAGTCTGAAGCTTCTTTGTTAACATTCGTTTATTTGTGAAATTTCCAGGTTCCTGGGAAGTCAAAATTTACTTAAGTTTTACTTGTAGTAAACAAAACAGATAAGAAAAGCTTTAAACTGTCATATACTTAGATAATATAGTTTGGTAAATCCACAGATTGTGGCAGCTTCATTTCATCTAGCTAAGCAATTTTAAATTTATACCACGAGTTCATAAAACACGTTCACACAAGCTTATACTTGTTTGAACAGGTATAAAGTAAAATAATTGTGTGACGGTTAAATGTCGCTTCTATCCTAAATAGCATTGTTATTTCTCAAGAAACTTAACCCAACAATGCCTAAAACACAGGACGATTATCTGAATGGTCTCAAACCTGGCAGTTGCCGATAAATACTTCCAAGTGTGTTGTGATGCATATCGGTCATCAAGGCACAGATACATACACGATGAATAACACTGAGCTACCTGTCGTCCAGACATATAATGACTTAGGAGTTATCGTTAGTCAAGACTGGAAGACTACTGCACACTGCCGTGCAATAGCCGCCAAAGGTTTTAGAACGTTATGGTCAATACGTAGGGCTTTAAGTCATGTCGACGCTAAGACGTTTTTGACTTTGTATGCAGTGTTCGTACGTCCTAAACTTGAGTACTTCATATAAGCGGCCAGCCCCTGCTTACAAAAAGACAGTGAACTTCTGGAAAAGGTTCAGTGAACGGCAACTAAGCTGATTCCCGGAATAGCAAAGCTTCCGTCTGAAGCTCGACTGGCCAAGCTGAACCTTTCCCCGTTGTCATATCGCAGAACTAGAGGCGACTTGATTACAGTCTACAAATTGCTTAGTGATAAATTTGCACCTGACATGCCCTCATTTTTCTTGTCTTCCAAAACAAAGAATTTATGAGGACACTCCAAAAACGTTCACAAGCGAAGAACAAATTACTTGTCAGCTGACTATCGACTTTCCCATCGAATCATCAACGAGTGGAACTCATTACCTCAGCACGTGGTTGAGGCTCCATCCGTCGACTTTTTCAAAAGAAAGTTGGATCAACTGAGGGATCACCATTGCCAGGACTAACATAGGCCATCAGGCCTCCTGTCCTTCCCAAACTGAAACTAATCCTAAAATTATAATATCGCGTTGATGTAGAGAGGCTTAGATTTATCGACAACAATGTACTACATAACGATTTAGATAACACTATTTTATCTAATCACCATAGAGGTAATATAAAATTAAGGAAGTATAAACTAAAACTGAGAAATAAGTTCTACAATAAGCTTCACATGACAACATATCAGTCCAAGTAGCTTAATGTAGCAAAGCGAAAATGTGATAAAGGTCATAGAGGAGAGGAAAAAAAGCATACACAATAAGATCAGGTTTATAGAAAGATAAACCACAGATGCATCTGGAATATTTTGATCAGTGTAAACCATTAATAATAAATTTATTTATTATTTGTTGAACTCAGATTAAGATCCTTTCTCTAATACCTGGTCAGTGGACTAAACAACCAACTCGTAGAGATGAGACTAAATCCACCACTCAATGTCTTTGAGAAACTGTGCTATCATGTACTGTTGCTACGAATTACAGTGATTGCATAAAATGACCGTAACTCGGTAGATTATTACAAGCGTTTTTTGTATCCCCTAAAATCAGCAAGATCATGACTTGTGGACGAACCAATGTAAGTAAAGATGGCCAATCTTCTACTTTGTCTTGAAATATACTCACCCATATAGTTAAAGCGCATGTTTGATATCAATTCGTGATGAAAAACTTACTTTAATTCGTAACCTTGAATTCTGAATGTAAGTACTGATCCCAAGTCCCTATACTTATTCGTTAATTCCATTCGACTCTGGTGGTCAGGTAGGTTTTCTCAAAGTCACTACCATCGCCCACATGTTTTAAAAGGCAAGGTCGTCCATAGTTTTATTGACTACCACGTGCGAGATATGAAACTTGTGGAAGTATTAAAGTATTTATTAGCTGTTTTAGCTGTAGAAGCTTATCAAAAACAGAAACCCCATAAAAACAAGCATGCTACTAACTTTGGAACAAAATGGACCAATTTCGGTTGTATTCTCTCCACCTTTCAGCGTAACTAAATAAAAATACGCAACTCAAAACGTTTTGTTAAAAATCTAGCGCAAATCACGACTTAAAAAGTATCACCACTGAATATAACAGACTTCCAGATACCTGTCACTGGAAGTAGGATTAAATATGCACTACATAGTTTACACTAAACAACAGACAAATGGTGCATTAAAACAAACGTCAACCCAACAAAAAATTACTTTTAGGGTTTTTACCTTCAGTATAAATTCGCCTTTAAATGTGTTATCGAATTCATTTCGCTTCACAGCATTCAACTTTTGTTCTTCAAAATGACAGGATGTACTGTTTATGTAAACGTTATAGGAATTTCAATTGACAAGCGATTATTACCAGCTCAGTCACATTGCCATAGTTCTTCGAAATTCGTTACGAATTATAAAACTCTACAGCATTTTTGGTCTGGTTGAAATAAGTAAATTAAGGTTATTTGTTTGTGCAATCATGATAAAAACCCTTACACCACTTTACATCAGCTTGTATTGTAGATAGATTTTTAAGAAAGATTCCCCTTTTGGATCACTTACGATACATCACTCGAAAATTTGAAGCATTAGGACTAGTTTTGAGGTTTCAAAACCGATTCCCCATTTGTGTTTGCTGTTGCACACTTGGATTGATCAATGCTTGGTTTAGGTTTTGTAGTGTCTACTAATATATCACGCCAATTCGAATTACTCTCGCTTTTTTGACCTCGGTTAATTCATGCTTTTCGGGTTATTATCGACAAATGTTTTAGAAGTTCGTTTACCCTCACAAATAATGATAGATGCTAAGCGAAGCGCAGAAGGCTAGCGGGCGAAGCGTAACTCCCTGTTTAAAGCCAGACGGAAAAATTAGTCAGCCTTTTGATGGATTGAGCACACACATATACGCTAATGCAGGAACAGTCAAGGTTACAAAGAGGGAGCTGGCTTTTCATATCCATATTATTATCACCAGATTCAGTAGAAAGAATTATAACGCATTATAGCGGTAAATAAATTTCCAGAATAAATAGCTCTGTAAGTTTTCAACGTTGGATGCTGACCACATTGGTTTTAATGGACTCACCTAGCTGAAGGCGCTCGGTCATGCATCCGCAGCAGAGTACGAGTGGGAACGTCATGCTCAACATCCCCTGCAACCGCTAACCACATTAAATCAGACGATCCTCGATGTATTTATATTTTACCAAATATATCTTCGAAACTGCCTATTTCTCTCTTTTGATTTTACTTGATGAATGATTCACAGTAGACGATGTTACTGGTTGAAGCGTTGTCAAACTCCGAAAAACTGTGGCAATTTCAGCAAATTTATTAACATCAATATCGTTCGATCGTTTGAAAAGAGAAACGCGATACCGTCAATGTTTTCAAGAAAAGCCACTCGACCTTCATCGATGAAATGTGAAGGAACATTTTGATAATTCCTTTATATTTGATATACACTCCCCCGGTAGGAACCAATGTGGATATGTGTACGTTTCGCCAGAACAATATAAAAAGAGGAAAGACATACTTTTAAAGCAAATCCTCAACTGGCTTTACTTGAACCTACAATAATATTTATATGCATATATGAAGCTAATAAGTCAATCATGGCAGTTTATTAGTCACTGATAGAAGTGAAATAAATCAGTCGATAAAATTTTAAGAAAAAGTACAAATTGACAGTGTGATGACAGATGTACTAGTTAAGATTAGAATAATAAAGGCTTGAATAACGTTTCATAATAGGTAGTCGGTCAGTGAATTGAAGAATATAAACTCTGAAGTAACATGCATTCAAACTTACAAGACTGCGCAATAAGAAGTGTTTGGATTATTTGACGGTAAGGCGTGTGTCGGAAAAACTTACTTACTTACACCTGTTACTCCTCGTGAAGGAGCATAGGTCGCTCACCAGCATTCTCCATCCAATCCTGTCGGAAAAAAGGGGTGGAATAATAATATTAGCGAGGATGGAAAATAACAAAAAAACAAGATATTTTGTTGAGGCAGATTCGGCAAAAGGAGAGGTGGAGGTCTAGCAAAATTTTTATGAATACGAAAACGTGAGTTGTTAGTTCTAGTCCCACTGGCTTCTGCTATATGCAAGAGACGAGATTAGGTCTCAAAAAATCTCGTAGATGCACGGTAAATCACCTCAGATGGTTTCTTCTATCTACTTGTCAAACGCTGCCCTGGAGAAAGCTATATTGGGTGCATAATTAGACAAGTGAGCCAATTAGTTGGTGAACATTTCCATTCGTGAAATTAATATACAGCTCTGCCTATCACAATCGATCGAAAGCATTTATGTAATAAATAAAATTCGGCCATTTGAGGCAATTTACAGTACACCAACCAGTTTTCTTAAATTTTTATATTTTGCCGGTTATTTGGTCTCTGCAAACTATCACACTGTTAACACTCACTGATAAAATGCCTTGAGTAGTTTAACAATTTCAAACGTGAATATAAATATTATTGTATATTGGAGTGAAAGATGATGAAGATTGTACATTTATCCATGTTGTTCTATTTAAGGAAGTCAATTTTTAAACCAGTGTATTACAGGTCTTAAAATTTAATGATAGGGAAGATAAAGCTGGATGTGCATTTATTCTATATGCATTTTAACTGTATAAACACAGGTTCTAAAAGTGCAGGTGTTAAGAACACTGAAATAAGAGATTATGCGAGAAATAACTGCTTAAAATTTGTTGTGGGAGTCAACTTTAATTTCATCCTCTCAATTACGTTTCCGATTGAGCTCCAAAACCGAAATATTTTTTATTTAAAATATCAAGTGTAATCACCCTTTGATCGATTTTCTGCTTCAACAATATATAAGAAAACTCTGTGTCCGAAAACTATCCTGTATGATGAATAAACATAAAATTATGGACAGTTGTTTTCTGTAGTTTGTTGTTTGTTAGGACAAATAAAGGCTCTACTCACTTTACTTAATATCCAGACATTTTTTGCAGTTCCATGAGATGAAACATCTAAGGACATGGGTGCATAACTTGGCACCTACCATTATTACACTGTGCTCTTCATAACATGGCTTCCATAAGTTTCTTGAAAGGAAGTCTATTTTAGCATTAGAAGTAATAAGAAACATCTTTTTTAAAAGAAAATTTCTAACATTTGCTTCATGGTTTTATATGTCATCAGTTTTGAGCTGAACTTAACTGCTGTGCTCAGACATAGCGTGTGTACTTCGGAACATCCCCCATCAACATATTGTCTATTGTGTGATGAGTGTCAGATTTTCCTTTGGATTAAAGATGTAGTACGCCCAGTGACGTTATGTTCTGTAGAATAAGAATAATGTATAAAACGACATTTTGTCTTCTCATTGTTGTTTGCATTTAAAAAAACATGAAGGAAGGATTCGCTGAAGTTCTGATGTAATTTTGCTGTGGTTTTAGGTTTGTGCTTATCCGGCACATGATTTCGCTTTTATATGTTCTTATTTATTTTAGTATCCATAATATGAACAGAGTATGTTCTGATTAACAAGAACACACAATGTTCTTCTTGGGATATCACTCCGTGCTACGGAGTATCTAATTATGAATTTTTGTACTGTAATATAACTACCTGCAACCGGATGAACCAATTTTACGTTCGTTACTATCTCACGTGTTTTGTCTTTGTTATTATGTGATCTGCTTTCTTTTTCTTCATACTTCCACCTGGTTGTCCTACGTTTTACTAATATTGGTGAAAGTTCAGAAAATTTATTGGTTCGGCAGTCGTAGTCTGCACTTATCATTCGTTTTAGCAAAAGATTTCACATTATTCTGTTGACTTTCCCTCATCCTAATGCGGTAGCTTTTTCTTGTGGTCCCTATTAGATTGTTAGGATACTTTGTGGTAAATCACATATGTAACATAGTTTATAAAGTAATTGAATACAATAACCACAAAAATTAAAGGTTTTTGCGAAGGAAAGAGAAAAACATTACTCTAACCCACTAGTGTTTTGACATTATTGTCTGAAATTTTCAAAAATGACAGTGATGAAAATATACTTAAAATGACTTTGATCTTGGATTTCTTATGGAAGAAACTTCGCTTAACATAATTTTTTGAGCTATTTATAGTAAAATTTTAGGAGTAAGCTTAAGCTCTGGGTGAGTCAGGCAGAATAATATGTGGTGTACATATGATGTTTGATACAGAGGTGCCAATTCCAAATAATTTTACATTCATTTTAGAACGCAACATGTTGCTATCAGAAATTTAAATAAATAATATATTTGTAATATCCCAATGAGCTGAGAAAGCAGATTTACTGACGTTTCATGACTTAGTGTGAGCCACTTCTTCAGAGAATTATTAACGTGGATTGATTTTAATTCGGTTATTTATTCCTCGAAGAAGTGGATTGCACTAAGTCACGAATCGTCAGAAAATATAACTTTTCCACCCAATGGGATATTACAAATATATTATTTAAAACAATTAGTTCCTTTGATAAATTTCGATAATGCAATGAAAAGACGAAGTTTGTCAGAAATATGTGATATATTTGAGCAATACATTTCAAGAAATCTGACCATACGTATACTCGTCAAGACATTTTCATATGAAAATTAAAAGGTCAACTAGACATTTTAGAGGTGAGCCATAATAGAGAAATAATAATATTAAAGCACACAAAAACAAATGTGAAAACCACTCTAGATAATAAATCAGTATTAACAGGGTAGGGTAAATGTGAGGAAAGATTGTTTTTAAACACATAAACAGGTTTCAATTTCCGTATAGCCGAGGTTTCAATAAACCTTAGTATACGTCCTTGAAAGCTTTTGTATTACAAAGGCTGACTTAGTGAGATGCTTGATGTCAACGTTATGACCAGTCTCAATCAAATTAAGGACAATTTCTGTTCATCCTGTGATTTTATCTGACTACTGGAATATATTTCGATATGTGTTCACCCACCCTTAATTGCAAATCACGGCTGCTCCTCCGTATGTACGTGTTTCCGCACATCTATGAAAATTGGTAGACACAACAGGTTGTGATACAATCGCTTTAATGCTGTTTGGGCTTTTGATGAAACACAGAGCTTTTTTTTTGATAATGTCAAGTTTGGCTGCATAAAATGTCTGGTTGATCGCTAATTTAAGTCTCCGTTTCAATATGAGAATATTTGTATCGCCTCTGAATGGTAACGTAATGTAAACTAGCTTTTCGGGTGGCATAAGCATCATAGATCTAGTTGTATTGCAACAATCAACATAGACTCTATCTCAGTGCATACCAGTCATGAGTTTTTTATGAGTGACTATATAGTTGTAATGAGTATTATTGGCTCTTTAAACGCCATACAGTTGAACTCCAAAGCTTCAATGATGTACCAGAGCAGACATTTTGATCAACAAACATGGAAACGGACTGGAACTTGTAGTGGCATTGGACAATAGCCACACAATCCACAAAGCTGTGAACACGAGACTACTCAGAAAATAGATATTCAATATTTAACGCGGAGAAATGCCTAACGATGGAGAAGGGGCGGGCAAGGAACTGAATGGACTGGAGTTGATTGAGTGGCATGGCTCGGCCATGCAGGCGTGTTCTCTGCCGAATGTTACCTTATATCTTCTATTCATATTAAATATATTGTTCCTTCTCTAGCCTAACCTTGTTCTACATCATGTATTGGTAATTGATACGATACAGTGAGTTGGTGTAGTCGATGGTGTGACTTCTACGTAAGATCTTATAGATTAGGCAGTTATATCATAACAAATCTACAGTATTAGGATTAGGTCTATTATTAGAGCAGTACTAATATCATAGTAGACCATAATTCTACAAACTTTCATTCAATGTTTACCATGGGAAACTTATTTTACCACAAATAATGTTGACATTGCGCTTTTCAATCTATACCACAACCTGATATATTGCCTTGACCGCACTGCTCCAGTTATTGGCCGTGTGGCTTATAATGCTAATAGGGGCCAAAATACTTTTAAAAGAAAGCTGGGGAAATTAAAATGCCGCTACTACGAGCAGAATGATGTGTATGCACTTCAGAGTATACTTAAATTAATCGACAGAAATGCTTCATCTAAACGTAAGTATTTTATGAATATAGAAAATAAAGTGTTACGTAGTAAAAGACCAGAATTATCAATACTTCGGCTTTTTCAAACACGTGTAAAGTCAATTCCCTTGGCACGACTAAATTCTTCATAGTTAACGGAAGAATTGTTAACGACCCGAATACTATATGCTAACAATTCAGCAAGCACTTCTCGCAGTGCTACAACATTTTGTTTAATTACGGCTCCTTATGGTTTAGTGGGATGTCACGGACTTATGGTATTGAAGCTGATTTATCACGCAAAATACCTCTTTAAATCGTGTTACGAACGTTGAATTGGTTTCACTTCCTACCCAGTAATCCTATTACAAGCAAACTAGACAATTCGCTAATATACGAAGCCTACTCAAGACCCTATAAAACCTGAAAAAAAATAATACAGAAAAACGAGAGGGGCTCTAATAGCTTCGATAATAAAAGGAAGACAGCCAATTGTATATCACAATACTGTTTCTAGCACTATATTTTGTTTTGTAATCACACATAATCCCATACTCTCAGCTCCTTTCTGAATCCCCTCCATTTGTCAGTTGTATGTCCACTCACACCTTGTTAACACTTATTTACTTTAACCTATTAAAATGCTCTTTCTTAACAAATACTTTAATAAAAGAAAATTAGACTGAGTAATCATACCTTAAACATTCCTTCATGAATATTGGCTACTCTGCCTCTCGTCCTTTCTTTTACTTGCTCCCTCTTTCAGCCCCCTTGAGGTATGGAACAGGTTACTTCATCCTGCACCATCCTTAAGGCCCTGGATATTCCAAAGGGACATAAGGTTGCGGTTTCTAGAAGCTCATACCTTCAATGGACCTATTCTTGACCATCAGACGCACATTCGCAACGCAACTCTCGTGGAGCGCGCCAACTGTAGTACTGATTAAAACAATCTACATTCATGTCTTATAAATTTTCAACCCAGCTATGTAATTTAATACAGTGAATATTGTATCATTTGTATCAATTTGATCTTGCCTGTAAACTGACATGCCTCATGTAACAAACTTTTATTTGAGAATAAATTATTATTATTATTATTAAAAATGGAACTGAAAACTCCATCATTACATTTCCAATGCTGACATCCAGACATCCGTCGAAAATTGATTTTACACCCTCCAACATCAAGCAAGCCATAGATGCCCTGAAAAAGTCTTATGATGGTGCGCCTGACGGGATACCTTCATCATTTGTGAAATATGGAAATAGAGAATTTCCACTATTTTGTTTGAAACTTCTCAATCCATCTATGGAATATGGGACCTATCCATCTGTATGGAAAACATCCCTTATCATCCCTACATTCAAAACAGGACCACGTAGTGATATTATTAACTATAGGCCAATTAATTTGACATCCGTGCTCTCAAGAACCATGGAAAAAATCATCCGCAAACGGCTATTATTATGATTTTTACTTTCGGCTGGTCTGATCAGCCCATCCAAACACGGGTTTATGACTAAACACTCATGTTTCACATCGCACCTGGAGTTTTTTGATCAAATTACTCAGAGAAGAGATGTTGGTCAGCCAGTGATAATTCTTTACTTCGACTTTAGTAAGGCTTTCGACAGTGACTCATACAAACTTCTTCTTTTAAAACTCTCTTCATTTGGTATACAGAATCCCTTTTTATCTTGGCTCCACTCTTTTTTAGAAGAACGTATCCAAATCGTTCGCTTTGGATCTTGCTACTCTAAACTTGTGAATGTAACCAGTGGGGTTATACATGGAAGTGTGTTTGGTTCATTACTCTTTCTCCTTTTTATCAATGACGTGTGTTCCCTCTTTCAGTATGGTAAACCTTTCCTTTTTGCCGATGACCTGAAAGTAGTTCATTCATTCTCTTGTCCCACGAAAGAAAGCTATATTTCAGCGGTAATCCGAGAGGAAATAAACAAGTTGTACGAATGGACTGTTTCGTGGAAATCGGCACTTAATGTTGACAAAAGTGGATTTATTCACATTGGTCGCTGCCTTAACTTAAATCTGACTGTACACACACATACACTCAAACCTCTCAACACTGTTCGTGACCTGGGTTTAAGATATAGCAACAGTCTGAACTTTTCTGAGGACACTATATCTCAAGTATCCAAAGCTAGAAAGCTGATCGGATTGATAATGATAAACTTTAATAATATCGAATCGAGATTGTTACTATACAGAAAATGTATCTTACCCATTCTTGAATATGGTATTTTAGTTTACAGTAATTGCAAACATAATGACCTGATTAAAATTGAAGGTGTTCAAAGCAAGTTCACCAAAGCTGTTCTGGGGTATTCCGATAACAAAGACTATCACCAAAGATATCAACAACTCAACTTAGAACCTCTTTGGATCAGACGTAGCAAATTAAATCTTGTCTTTATCTACCAGCTTATTAACGGTATTTCCTACTCCTACGTATCCACTACTTCATACCTTATGATATCATCCCACAATCTACTCAATGAGGAGAATATTCTAGTGATTCCAAGAACCCACACAAAATTACGTCAGAATTTTTTCATTATTCGCTACTCAACTATGTGGAACAGACTGCTAGTGAACCTCCGTTGCAGTGAAACTACAACCCGGTTCAAAAGTCTCCTTGATGATTTACTTTCCGAAAGTGGATTATTTCACCTATTGAATATCAATGTATTCAACAATGATTTATACAAACAAGGTGCATCATCCATTTAATTGCTTGTGTTACACTTAAATTAACTTCTCAGACCCGTTTTATCTTCACTATGCATATATGACTCATGCATATTGATATTTCATTATCCTTTTCACTCAATTGAGACTTTCATCGCATCACCCCAAACTATGACTGCACAAACATTTATTCTGGCGTCATATCTTACTACAATAATAAGTTGTTTTTTCTTAATTATTTTTTGTTACTAATTTGACGATATATACATAGTCGTTTGTTCTTGTTTTATGTTCATAAACACGCCAATTAAGATGTTTGCGTATTTAACGTCTCCTTTATTTCTATTCCCTTATTTTCTCCATTTCCTTCTTCAAACTCAATTCAATATTCTTCTCAATTACACAGAACTGATTTATTATTATTAATATTCTACTATTATTGCTCTAATTTTTTTAAATGGCAAGTATAGTGATAACATTATTGAAAATTGTGTATTATTGCATTTTTTGAAGAAACCCGAAATGGTTTCTTCACAACACTTATGTACCCATAAGATGTTTGTGAATAGTAATAATAATAATAATTGTTTTTATTAATATTAATATTATTGTTATTAGTATTCAGATTGCTGAGTGATGTTTGGGATTATTGACAGAACTATTTTGAAGCGCAAGCTGAAATCTAAAAAGCGTGTCTTCGCAATCATATTGTAGTTAACGCTTTGTCTAGTATATGAATGGAAAGTCGAGTATACTTGGTCCAGAAGATACACTGGTTTAAAAAATGACTTCCTTAAATAGAACAACATGGATAAATGTACAATCTTCATCATCTTTCACTCCAATATACAATAATATTTATATTCACGTTTGAAATTGTTAAACTACTCAAGGCATTTTATCAGTGAGTGTTAACAGTGTGATAGTTTGCAGAGACCAAATAACCGGCAAAATATAAAAATTTAAGAAAACTGGTTGGTGTACTGTAAATTGCCTCAAATGGCCGAATTTTATTTATTACATAAATGCTTTCGATCGATTGTGATAGGCAGAGCTGTATATTAATTTCACGAATGGAAATGTTCACCAACTAATTGGCTCACTTGTCTAATTATGCACCCAATATAGCTTTCTCCAGGGCAGCGTTTGACAAGTAGATAGAAGAAACCATCTGAGGTGATTTACCGTGCATCTACGAGATTTTTTGAGACCTAATCTCGTCTCTTGCATATAGCAGAAGCCAGTGGGACTAGAACTAACAACTCACGTTTTCGTATTCATAAAAATTTTGCTAGACCTCCACCTCTCCTTTTGCCGAATCTGCCTCAACAAAATATCTTGTTTTTTTGTTATTTTCCATCCTCGCTAATATTATTATTCCACCCCTTTTTTCCGACAGGATTGGATGGAGAATGCTGGTGAGCGACCTATGCTCCTTCACGAGGAGTAACAGGTGTAAGTAAGTAAGTTTTTCCGACACACGCCTTACCGTCAAATAATCCAAACACTTCTTATTGCGCAGTCTTGTAAGTTTGAATGCATGTTACTTCAGAGTTTATATTCTTCAATTCACTGACCGACTACCTATTATGAAACGTTATTCAAGCCTTTATTATTCTAATCTTAACTAGTACATCTGTCATCACACTGTCAATTTGTACTTTTTCTTAAAATTTTATCGACTGATTTATTTCACTTCTATCAGTGACTAATAAACTGCCATGATTGACTTATTAGCTTCATATATGCATATAAATATTATTGTAGGTTCAAGTAAAGCCAGTTGAGGATTTGCTTTAAAAGTATGTCTTTCCTCTTTTTATATTGTTCTGGCGAAACGTACACATATCTACATTAGTTCCTGTCGTTACGCCACTCGGAACCAGAGAATGCCACATGTGGCCGCGCTTCGTGAATGAATATATATATCACTGAAATTATTGCTTTTTAAATCTGGAACACGACAGAACTACAAACTGTTTTACTGGCCATATTCTTCTGTAAGTAAACTGACAGTCACGTTTGGTAACTTGTATTGATTATAACGTTTTAGCGGACGAGTCACAGATACCTGTCATATAGAAAATAACTTGGTCGGAATGGGTACTCTGCACTATCATATACGGATCAATATCACGCAAGAAAGGTGGTTATTTTACAGTGCTCGGATGAATTCACCACTTTTAAAGAGTTTATTTGATTCTATGGTAAAAATGTATGTTTTGAAAGCAAAGTCTAATGAAATGGTAGAAGGTCTGCTGCCCAACGTTGCCCTTGTGTGCCTCTTGATGTCAGAATATACAACGCGGAATGCATATATTTTTATGCCTTGAAATTAGTTTCACCACGTAAGTCACTCGGCTTCCAGGTGGATGCTTGAACCTTATAACAGGAGAAATGAGTTGTTCTGACTCACAACAATCATGTACAGTGATTCAAAATCTAAGCTTTATAATATGAATGATCAATGGTTAACAATGTCTGTATACTTGACATTTTACGGTTCATTGGCGCAAAATCAGTTGGGATATTCCTGGTCAGTGAATATCATCACACGGCCTCAAGGTCACAGATATGATGGCGTCAAGCAATTAATCTAACCTATGAAGAGCTTAGAATGATATTACTTCCATGTAGCTCAATCCTTTGGCACATGCTTATTCCCATAATATCTACCTTGCGCGCTATTTAAAAAGGACAGTGGTATTTTTCCTCGCTGAGTAAATTTGTTTGTTTTGATCGTTTTTACGTATCAAGACTACTGTTTTCACTTTAATTAAATTTATTTCAGTTAAAGTATTCGACTAGAGTATCGTTTTTACTGTTCTCTCAATCAGTTTTTTCGTTGGTACTCTTGAGTACCTCTTTTTCAACTGTATCTGTTAGTACTTTTGGTCCTAGCAATCTACAGCTCTTCACTTTTTTGGTCATTGATTATTTTTTGTTTCTGAGTATCATCGCATCTTGAAAAAGAACCCCTCCTAAATGACCGGACAGTGT